AATAAACCATTTATTAATTCTTAGTTTTTATTTTTTAGTAGACACTGAGGACTATCCCATATAATTAGGTATTGGAAATATTGAAATATTCTAATCGCAAAACATTTTCCGATGCACATCATCTATTTTCTTTCTTCTCTAGATACTCATGAATACTGGGAAATTGAAAAATTAGTATTGTCGGTCAAAGTTACCTAGATTCTTCAAATTCATTCATCAACAAATCCTAAAAAGTCAGTTCATTGTCAGTAAATTTAAAGTCACCAAATCGACATGTTTGTCGTTTGTGAATTGGCATGTGATCCCATTTCTTTTGTAGTAGGTAGTTATTTGGTCTCTAAAGATTGTTGTTACATTTTTGTTTGGTTTTGAACTTTATTTTGCTTCCGATCTACAATTTTTTGTTGTCATATCATAAAGAGTTCTAATTTTAAACTTTCTGGCATTGTTTCAAAGAGTTATTATTTTAACATAATTCTTTAGAAAATATCATCTGACTGTTATCAGTATAAAGATAATAAATCAAAAGCAAAGATCCAAATATTATGTCGAAATTTTATGTAATTCGGAATTCCTTGATAACAAAAATAATTAAAAAAATATCTTTTGAATTTTTATTAGTATTTTCTAAATTACATTGCTTTGTTTTATTATACAAATTGGGCTTTATTAATCTCCGTATTCTCGTCATTGTATTGCAGAATTATCCACCTTGTTAACTTAGTTAACTTAATTATAATTTGCACATTCTGACAACGGTGTTTTCATTGGGAAACAAACAGGGTTGTGATAGAATTTATTTTTATTTTGCATTGTTCAGAATGTTAAATTGTTTCTTTAAAGTAAATTCTGATATTGACAGTCTGTTACATTTTTCTTAGCCAAAAATAGCATTTCAAATATGACCCAATTAAGAAGATATAATGTTTTGTAGGTTAATTATTCATTTTTTGAGCTGCCTGGCCTTATTCTGTTATTTATAGGCGTTATAAATATTTCAAAATTTAATAAAAACTCCAAAAATTGCAGTCAATTTCAACGTTATGGGTTTTTATTTTCTTGAAATTTTATGAAAACTTACACATTTTGGCAACGTTGTAAGATATCCTTACGAATCAAACAGGGTTGGGGTAGCAAAAAAGGGATTTATTACTGAATTTTCAACTTTTTACTTGAATTAATTTCTATTCAATTCACAAATTTTGTGTTGATCAAATACCGTACGGTCGAAAAAAACGGAAAAATGTGTCTGGAATAACCATTTTATCTTATGGACTTGCCTTTGAAAAGACAAATTTTCTTGGACTAATAAAAAGGAACCACAAAAAAATTAAGTAGATAAGACAGGTGACTTAGATAACAGATTGATGTGAGACCAGAGAAATAGAAGGGATAGAGAATGAGCGTCAACATGCGCAGAAGGTCTAATCAAGTTGGGCGCCATATTCCAGATCTTCGTGTCATTTTGTATATAGGTGGTAATCTATAAGTAATCAAATATCAATTTGCTGTTTTCAACCATACGGGGGCCAATTTAAATTTAGTAAAATTCTATCATTTATTATGGTTAGCTAACATTAATATGATTTATTTAATTATCAGTTTCAAAACTGCGTACAATATTGGTATATAATACACTAAATATACGAATATTCTGACAAAAGACGCTACGGACAGATGACCTTTTCGTCGTTAAACACTCGAAATGATATTAAATAAGTATTTACAATATTTCATGTTTACTTGTACTGAATTACGCGTTTCAATTTAAAATTTTTGCAAATTTGGTAAAAATTGTTCTAAACAACTTTTTGTTCAAGTTGTAGGTATATTCATAAAAACATTTGGTTCATAATTATTTTTGATGATTACCTACCTTGTATTTTTTAATATAAATCTAGAAAAAATATGTTTTGTTTTATTTTTTTATTCGTCCCTTCAAATTGTGTTACAAAAACTGTTACATAACATGTCCTCTAACAAATATTTTCATAATACATAAACATCATTGATTTTATTAAGGGTATTATTATTAGTATTTATCCTGGTTTTTGTCGACAATAAAAACTCAATCTTGTAATAGAACATCAATTTTATATTTCGTAAAATTATTTTGATACAAATTCAATTTGTCAAAATTCAAGTCTTAATATATTGATAAACAACCCAAATAATTCCTAAATATTTTATTATAAAAAAACTGTTACCGGTAAGTTTGTAAAACACATTATGGTTTACATATTTCTGGTACACTTGAACTTGTGCTTTCATGGACACTATAAGAGTGCACTGTTTTACAGAAGGAATCTTCTTCCTCAACACGTAATAAAAACATCCTCTTTAAATGGCCACATCGTACACTTATTTTTGACCATTCCCAATTACAATCACGATTTTTACAAATCGCCTTTAGGAAAACTAAAAATAAACAGTTTTGGATCATCTGTAAACACGATTATGTTGTATAAACTTACACATGAAAACTAATCATTTTTCCCGGCGTATTAGCTTTCTTAGAATGACTATGACAATATACAACAAGCCTTTTTGAATTAGTGTTTAGAATAATTGAGATAATAATAAATTTTAACTAGATAACAACACAAACGAAAAAAAAAAACAAACAGATGTCAATTAAAGAGGGGAAGTGACAGCGAGACCTGGAAGATGTCTGCCATCTTGCCGTCGACAAAAATTTGGATGCGCACTCGTCGAAGCTCATTCTCCCACTTCCATATCTCTGTGTGAGACCCATAGAATTAAATTCCTGAAACAAAGATATTTTATGAAAAATTGAACATTCTGACAACGGCGCGGTATTCCTAACAAGCGAAACAAGGTTACGTGATCGTTTACCTTTAGGCATTTCTACGAAAAATTAATTTAAATGCCAATATATGTATATTTATTTAATGAAACCCAGACTTGTGTGTCGAATACGCGATAAATGGAATTAAAGCAGACAGAAAAAAAGCATTCGGAATGGAAGAGTTATCTGAATTTTCGGCGAAATTTCGTCGAAAACTTGTTGTGAACGACCATAGGTCACCGTGTTTGTTGTGATAAAACGATTGGCCCTTGCTCCCATATTTTTCCGACTCCTGTTGTTATTTAATCTTGTTGGCTATTTTTAACGATTTATAATTCCATATTGTGACGATTTTTTCCGTAATTTTCTTAGTAATTCGTAAAAATATTTCTTACTGTATCCGGACGGTTTAATGAATTTCAGACTCATTATTTTTTGTGCATAATGCAATTAATGCATTCATATTTGATGTATCAGTAATTATATTGGTTGGAACATGGCACTTGTTGAATAGCATCAAAATATGGTTATGTCACTAGATGCATCTATTTTTAGTGATTCTAATTTATTTGAAACTGGTATGCTATACAGGGTGCGGATAAAAGTTTCGTATTAGGCTTTTTTGTTTCAGTTGTCCAATCATTAATAAGAGTAGTAACTAGCGTTGTAGACTTAAAAATACTAGAGTTTTTTTTGTAATTCTTTTCGAAAGACTGATTGATTGAATGATCTGGAACGATTGAGACCAATTTTCTGTCATTTCTTTCTATATCTCTCGATCTAAAATTCGGTTATTAAAAAATTCGAATTTAAAATTTTTTTTTTATTAATTTAAGTTAATAAACGGAATATCTTAATGATATGGCAACATAGGTAGTAGATTAAATTTAGAAGAAAAAAAACTTAGAAAAGATCCAGTGGTTCTCAAAATTTAATTGAAGGGGTGGTAGTTCTCGATAAAAAAAAACATATTTTCTCTTTATCGTTTTTCTAATAAGTCCAAAATAACGGAGTTATTTTACTTTGAAAATTTCAAAAAAAAAATGATTTTTCGCCAAAATTTTGAGAACCACTGGATCCATTCTGAATTTTCTTTCTTGTAAATTTAATCTAATACCTATTTTGCCATATTATCAAGAAATTATGTTTTTAACTAAAAACTAAAAAAATTTCCAAAAAATTTTTCAAAAAATTTCGAATTTTCAATTTTTTTTCGCGAAAAAAAACTCAGGCGTGTTTCTGGTGTTGAACTATACTCCCAGGTTAAAACACTTGCACTTATTTCTGGGACACCCTGTATAATAGAGCATAAATATTTAGACTGGAATTAGGGGCATAAAATGCAATAGATAAGAAAGTTATTTATAAAAAAAACATATATTTACTGTGTTACGTAAAATGAGTATGCAGTTCGTTCAAATGAACAAGAAATAAGTTCAATCGGAGAGTTGATTCAGTATGAGAAATAGAATTGTGCTATTCAATTTGCTAAAATGAATCGTAATGCCATCATTGTCTTGCGTATCTCTTATGCCGTATCCAGACTAAGGCGGCAAAAATTAAACACGATTTTGAGACAAAAACAAGACAAAAAATGTCTATAACTATGTGGCGGATTCATCTCTCCAAAAAGAGTCTTTATGGGTATTTCGCCACTGCACTTTCGTTTAGGTTTAACGCTGAAGTGTTTACAAAAAATAACTATTTTATTTTGTAGATTTTTCTTGCAGTGCAGTGGCGAAATACCGATAAAGATTTTTTTTGGAAAAACAAGACAAACTTGCGACAAAAAAATGGCGAATTCTGACAAGACAAACTTGAGACAAATTGTCCACACCGCAAGGACAAAAGTACAACAAAGTCAAAAGTTTAGTTGTTGTGAATGAATTTTATTAACCATGTATGATTTCACTGGTCTCCCATTGTTGGCAGCACACGCCATGCACACTGCGCCGACAACTTGTAAAATATACGAACAAAACATAGACACTTTGATCTTTACTGACTCGACGGGACATTGAAAAGTCTCCGAATTTTAAAACAAAACAAAAATGTCGCAGAAATGTATTGGATTTGTCGCAATTTTGTCGAAAAACATGAATGTTTCTGTCTTGTCGTTGTTTTGTCTGCTTAGTCTGGACCCGGCATTATGTTACACCCAGTATATTTGACATATTATTGTTTTTTACAGGCAAATCGAAAAACGCTCACAGAAACAAACAAAATCAGCAGCAACAACAGTCCCACCAAAATGCCAAACCACAGCCCCCTCCCCATCAACCGCAGCAACCTCAACACCAACCGACTCCCCCTCAACAACAGCAACAGCATCAACAAGCTGCTCCACCTGTCCCGACGCCGCAGCCTCCCAAGTCCGGCAACAGGACGCAAAAGTCGAAAGAGCTCAACATCAAGGGTGCGAGCAAAGAGGGCACCGACATGGATGCCTTCAACGACAACAACGGTGGCGCCACCACGCCTAAATCGACGGAGATCAACGCCAATTCGGTCCCCGTGGCGAACAACAGGGCTGACGTAAATGCCAATGCTGGGCCTCCCCAGCAGCAACAACAGAAGCAGCAGCAGCCACCTCAAGTCGTTCCTTCCAATGTAGAGACTGAAAACTTAGTTAATTCGATTAGGTGAGTCTATAGTGCCTTGGGACTTATGGCTGAGAGAGACTTTGACTATAACCGTTGTATAAGGAAGCTAGTAGCTTTACTCCTTTGTTCTTTTTCTGCCACTTTATATGACCTTGTTCTCGCGTCCCGTGACCACTGACGTAGCTGTATAGTCGTGGTCTATAACTAGGCACTCGCCTTAGTTTCGCAGAGATGTATTTAGGAAAATATGAGTTCATAATGAAATAAAATAAAAAAAATGATCATCGAGTAAAAATTTGCTTGTAAACAGAATATTTTCACATTTCGTGTAAGTAACAATTCTTCTGTATCTGAAAATCTTCTCATGGGAAGAAATGCGGAAAAAATATATAATGACATTTTTATGTTATTATCTATTTCAAAGATTTTGTACAACTTTTTTTAATTTAAAACAAGTTTAATTTTAACATTAATGTGTTTGTTTTGTAGTAATATATTGGTTAGGTGATTTTCATTGGATAACTAATACATTGAACAACACATTGTACTAAATAATAAAATAACATATTATTTAAACTTCAATAATTGCTAATAAACAGGTGCAGTTCGTTAAACAGCAAGCAAGGGATGGTTGTCAACAGTAAAATCGATAAAAAATTGAGGTTTAAATGAAAATAATATTAAATTATTAAGTAGTAATCAGTCATGAGAAAATTAACCTGAACACAAACATGATCACAAATGACTCTAAAAAAACTCAAAGCACAATTTTTTGAAATATTACTACAACCAATAGCAGCACACAGTAAGGCACCATTTTTTGTCAATCCGTCTCTGTGCTGGGACGCAACGCTCAAACCTCGCAGGTCAACGGACGGAACTCAACTGAAACGCTTTGCAATCTGCCGATATTCGACAGATTGTAAGAACTGACTCTTTTCCTTCTGCTATGCTATAATCAGAACATTTCATTATTCTCTTCTCTCTTCCAGTGATCATAAGAAAAAAACAACCGACTCGAACGAAAACGTAACGACGACGACAATCAAACCGGCCGCCAGCGAAGCTCCGGCGCCCCCAGCTTCCGCCATCGTGAACAGCAGAGCCCCGCCGGCTTCCGCCGTACCAGCGGCGGCTGTTGCACCGCCCGCGGCCAAACCAGTGGCATCCAAGCCGGCCTTCGACGTCACCAGCATCATCAAGGACGTGCCCAAGCAGGCGCCGGTGCACCCCTTCCCCCAGGGAGGCGCTGCTCTTCCTCAGACCGTGGTCACGCCCTCGGAGAACCACGAGAGCGCTGGCGACGGCGACAGGAACGCCTACGGTAACGATAGGGGCGCGGAGAGGAAGACGGAGGGCGTAGTCAGTAACAAGGTGAACATGGAGAACGCCATCAATAATTTCAAGAGTCAGTTGCCGTACAGACCAGGTAAGAATCGATTTAAAGCTTTAAAAATTGAATTTTATGATTACCATATATGGTGATCATTTTTAATTTTTAGTGATAATTTTAGATGATTAATATTAACACTTACCCTTAAAACCGAATTTTTAATATTAAATACGATCACCATATATGGTGATCTAATTTAAATGAAGTAGGATCGCCATATTATGGTGATCATATTTAATTTTTAGTGAGAATTTTAGATGATTAATATTAACACTTACCCTTAAAATTGAATTTTTAATATTAAATACGATCACCATATATGGTGATCATATTTAAATTAAATAGGATCACCATATTATGGTGATCATATTTAATTTTTAGTGAAGATTTTAGATTATTAGAAACCATTATAAAAGGAACCATTATATCATGGCGACATTATTTAAATTGAACAGATCACCATATTATAGAGACCTTATTTTTTTAAATCATTTTTCGTGCGATATCTTAAAGTATTGCCTTTGGTATTGCTTAGTATCGTTCAAAATTAAATATGTTTAATAGTGATCTTATTCAGTTTTGGGAGTGTCGTATATAATTAAAAAAATATCATGTTGGGTCTAAAAGTAGATCTTCTGGTGTTAAATCTGGTATTATTGCCATATAATGATTATAGTATTGAAAATTAATAAGATCACCACATTTTGGGTCATCATATTTAATTTTGAGTGGTTCTCTAGAAAATTTTGTAATTAATCATTTAGAGGCTAAAGTAAACCTTCTGAAATACCATCAACAAATTGTGGTGAACAAATTTTAAGTTTAATAGGATCACCACATGGTGTCAATTGTAATATTGGTTAGATATTGCGAATTATTTAAAAACTAATAAAATAAAACTACTTAAATATGTTTGCCATATTATGTGTGGCGATGATCACATTTAAATCAAATAAAATCACTGTAATGTTATTATTTAATCCCGTGTGTGAAGATTTTTTAAATAAAATTTAGATTCGAGGAAACTATTTCTAAAATTAAACATAAAAAAACCATAAACATAAAAAAATATATACATAAATTAAACAAAAAAACCATATTATGGTGATTACATTTAAATTAAATAATATACCACGTTATGGTGATATTTTTTTTATGCTTCAAATGACTTCAAAATTGACACATTTAAAAATGCTTTAATGATTTAATATGATACAGTACCATACAACAATTAACAATTTCATGAGTCTTCTGTTTCTTTGTTACAGGTCAGTGGGCACCAGATAACAAAGATGGTCAAAGGGTGTACGAAAGAGACTTTTTGCTCGCGTTGAAACACTCCCCAGCCAGCAGGCAAAGGCCTGAAAATATACTGGATGTTGTTTCGATAGACGATAGAAACGTAAGTTTTTTTTTAAATCCATCAAATACCTATAGTTTATTTGAAAATTTATTCCACAGCGTATTCCAATGGATTCACGTTTATCCATGGGCGGTAGGACAGACTTCACAAACCCACCCTTCCCTAATTACGGTGGCAAATCAGGATCACAAAGAGGGGTAAGCGTTATTGTTTTTTTTTTGTTTATACATGCATACTTGTAAATGTTTTTCATGATGATATTTTTTAAAATATAAACGATGAAAGTAGTGATCTGACAGATTTCTTGATGTCAATTTCAATCTGAACTAATTATATGACCCGTAGAATCTATACATTATCTTTTTTACGTGATTTTTAAAGGTTTTGATCGTTTTTTCAGCCATTGCCAAAGAGGAACAGTCAAACTGGCAAAATGGGCAGTAGGACTGGTGACAAGAACGCCAACAAGCCTCAGCCCAAAGTGTCAATATCGTTGCGCGGCGATGTCAAGTTGCACGAAGCTGAAAACGCGTGGAAACCGACCAGGTTCCAAAAGGGTAAGTCGACAATTTCTGGGAATTTTATACAGGGTCCGGCAATAGTGCGTAGGGCATCTGTCGCTCATAGAATTAAAAACTTGGGAATTTTATTTAAGCGCAAACCTAAAGTATGTAAAAGGATGTATTTTAGAAAAATATTTTAACTTCTATAGGGTGACTCAAAAAAGTGTGAGTGGATCGGGATGACTTTTTTTTTAAATGGAACACCCTGTTTGTTATTATACCAAAGAGTAGATAAGACAAGAGACGACAGTGAACAAAGAAGTCCAATTTGGCGAGAGAGACGCAGATATATTAAAATTTAAAGGTCCCATGAAGTCCCATTTTGTCTGTTGCCAAGTATATTTCTTTGAAAAATAAACAAGATTTTCTGAAAATAAATTAATAATATAAGAAGGATATAAGTAACGCATGTTAATACGGAAATATAAATTTCTAGTTTAGATTGGTTTAGGTTCTTTTTTCGCAATGTACTGATAATATCAAAGAAACAGAATTACTAAGTTGATCGATTTCAAAGATAAACAGATAAAATCTGAAAATCTCTCAACGGCGTATTTTATCTAATCTAATCTATGATTTTAGGACGCTAATCAGCTGTGCTAATCAGGCTTAAACATAAACAAATCTGATTAGTTGTTTTCTCGCATTTTTGCCTTTTTAAAGTGTGTTTTCAGAGTTTTTCGATATATTATCATTTTGAGAGTTTTTAAGGTTTAATTTTAGTATCGTTTTTGTTGCGTACTAATTTGTAAATATTGTTAAATATGAATACTGAACAGGACACGAGTAGCAGGAAAAGACGAGATGGTGGCAATGTGTGTGCTTATAAAGACTGCAAAAATACGTCTTATTCTTCGACAAACATAATATTTTACTCTTTTCCAAAGGATCCTGAAAAGTACTTTTATAGAAATATACTATATAATTATGTTATTAAACTAAATGTAATCCATAGATCGAAGACATGGTTAGAAGCTTGTATTATATTTTTACAAAAAAAATTGAGCAACTCTATTTTTTTGTTCACAAACTCCACATTGTGATTTTACACTTGTTCAAGTCCATATGTAAAAAAATACACGTAAATAAAACATTTCTTACAAATCGACCTGGTCACTTTATCTTGTTTACCAACGATATACAAAATATTGCTTTTATTATCTTTATTCCCCGACAAATATGTTTCTAATTATAATTTATTTTATATAATATTTATAAAACTCATTTTTTTTTTCGTTTCTATTTATTTCTTTACCCATACAGTAACTATTTATAAGCTATACAGGCAAGTTTTAATAATAGCCTATTTCAAATTTCCCGCGAAAAAATTACGAAAATTTAAAGGAACAAGCGAGACGAGGTCGCTCTCCCCACCACTCAAACATGAAAGGTACCGCGCGAGCTGTCGTCTCTTGTCTTATCTACTCTTTGATTATACTTCGGTAATTTCAGAGATATTAAATGAACAAAAAAAATTTATTTTTTCAAACCATCCTTAAAAAAGTTATTACAATTACAAGAACCCTCTTGAAATCAAAACTATATTAGGTATTTACTTTAGATAGGTTGTACTTACTTTGCTATAATCATGGTAACTGTAAATCATACAGGATGTTCAAAATTATACGCCAAACTTTCTAAAATATAATTTTTCTTTGTTTTTTAAGCGGAACACCCGGTATATTATTTTTTTCATTAGATGGAGAAGTAAAAAATGAACATTTTTTGTATTTAAAGTATTTCAAAATTTTTAGTGGTTTTGCAGATACACACAGTATTATCTCATATGGCTCTTTCAACGGTATAAGGCTCCGCGCGCACTGCATCGGATCGGACCGACCAGCAAAAGCGACTGCGACCATCGTACATATAGACGGCGCCGGCGTCCACTAAAACATTTCGGCCTGTAGAGGCCAGATTCCTACCTCTACCTATCTACGATAGTCGAGTCATCGCCTTCGCCGTTTCTCGCCGGCCCGATCCGATGCAGTGCGCGCGGAGCTTAATACGAGAGAAAAATCATTGAGTGGCATTGATATCAATTTACTCTAAAAAATGCCATATGAAATATAAAACCGCTAATATCTGCGAAACCGTTACAAATTTTGAAATACTCTAAATACAAAAAATGTTCATTTTTTAATTCTCCAATTATTGAAAAAATAACATGCAGGTTGTTCCATTTAAAAAAGAACTAAGAAAAATGTTTTTGGTTTAGATATAGGAATATTATGCTTTATTAACAAAAATTTAGGTAATTATTGGGAAAACTGGAAATCGTCAGATTTTCACCAAAATTGGTATACACCCTATTTTGAGGTCGTAGATTACGAATCTGAACTTTTTTTTTTGGCGGTCTCTTACCGTTTTTCAGAAAAACGGAAAATTATTTCAACATCGATTTTTTCTTAATTTCTCATATTTTTAAGGTTTTCTAGCACATATTTTGTTAGGTATTCAATAAACAATGATGTTATTGCTATTTTCTGTTACTTTTTTAACCAATTCTATGCATAATAGAGGAAAATTTGCTAAAATAAATTTGTAAACAATCTGAAAATGTTGGGTTATGTGTTTCTGGCATTTAAAGCAACGTTGCCAACGCTAAACCTAAATTTAGCGTGTTTTTTTTTCGCTCATTCTGGTATTACGAAAGGCGGTCGCCAGAAGAACGGCTCCTTCCCATAATTGCTATTTTACCAACGAGATCTGACTATACCACGAAGTTGCACGAAAGAGTTTTGATTGCATTGGTTACAACTTCTTTGCGGAGGGGGTTAATCTTTTTTTGATATAATATAACAACAAAAGATTAACACCCTCAGCATGGAAGTTGTAACCAATGCAATCAAAACTCTTTCGTGCAACTTCGTGGTTATAAATATAATATAACAAAACAAAAGATTAACCCCCTCCCCATAGAAATTGAAACCAATGCAATCAAAACTCTTCCGCGTAACTTTGTGGATATAGGTAGGTATATTTAATTATTGTCGTTATAATTTATTTAAAATCCCTAATCACCCGAAAAAATAGAAGATATGGCAACGTTGTAAATTTTCAAATTTCTAGATTAGGTCTAGAACATGATACAAATAATACAAGGTATGATATTGCGCAGGTTGGTCACTACGTCACAGGTGATAAACGGCACCATTGGTCGGCAAGTTCCGCGCGCCAATTTCAAATTGTCAAACAGATGACAATAAATGTGAAAATAATTTTTCAAATGTCAAGCTCGATGATTTGACTATGTTTGACATAACTTTTTGGGTTATGTCCTAATTCTTCCCTATTTTATGTCTTTTTATTAGTGGAAATTGCACAATATGGATATTTTTCTGGCGTATGACGTCACAGGTGGTATGCGCAAACTTAACGAGATTGGAACCGCTATCGATCATATCTTGTTTTCTTTATACCATGGGTCTAGAATATATTTGTCTCTCTCATTACATAGGAGAGAGAAAGAAGGATATATCAAATGTCAAACTTCCATCTGGTTTCAATTTTCTTTGTTATTTTGTTAAGAAAAGTGTTTTTCAGTAAAATTTTGGAATTTTTCTATCCTCAATCAAGTGTAGCTTTTAGATAAACTATAATATAATGAAAATATAGTGAAATTATTACTTTATAGGGCCGAAATAAGGAAAAATTCAAAGTTGAAATAATTTTCCGTTTTTCTGAAAAACGGTAAGAGACCGCCAAGAAAAAAGTTCAGATTCGTAGTCTACGACCTCAAAATAGTGTGTATACCAATTTTGGTGAAAATCGGGCAATTTCCAGTAATTACCAAAATTTATATATTTTTTAGCAATAAAGTACTTTTGAATTGAATTGAATTGAAAAATTATATTTTAGAAAGTTTGGCGTATATAACATCCTGTATGATTTACAATTACCATGATTATAGCAAAGTAAGTACAGACTATCTAAAGTAAATACCTAATATAGTTTTGATTTCAGGACAGTTCTTGTATTTTTAATAATTTTTTGTTTGTATACTGGGTGGCTCATTAATCTGACGAAGATCAATATCGTCGTTGTTAACGAAATTACTACCCTGTAATGTATGAGGATAAACTTGTAACAATTTTTTTTAGTTTTGGATTATTTACCAGTTATAAATAAGCGTCTATTTCTCTTTTTTTTAGGTGAAAGTACTCCTGAGGAAGATACGAAAACCGAAATTCTGTACAAGAAAGTAAGGTCGGTGCTGAACAAACTGACTCCCCAGAAATTCGACACGCTGGTGAAACAGTTCAGGGACCTGAAAATCGATACCAAAGAACGACTACAGGGTGTCATCAATTTAGTTTTCGACAAGGCTATCGACGAGCCCAATTTTTCCGTGGCCTACGCGATGATGTGCAAAGAATTGCAAATAATGGCTGTAAGTAGCCGAAAAAAACATTATTTTTAGCTAAATTTTTGTTTGAAAGCGTTCAAAACTATGCTGAAAAAATTTCTCGGAAAATTCCATGAAAAATATTCATTTTTTTTTGCAAAAAAACTAATAGGGTGTGTTTTTGACGTTGAATTTAAGGGACAACCTGTATATTGATTAAATGTTCTTTCAGGTGCCGACCGAAAACGTACCCGAAGAAAAGAAGACGTTCCATTTCAGGACGGTTCTGTTGACTCGTTGTCAGAACGAGTTCGAAAAGAATTCCGTGGACGAAGGCGAGAGAAATACGAAAGTCGAGGAGATCGAAGCATGCGCGGATCCGGTAAGTTCAAAAAACCCATGTCGTAGTAACCTTTTAATTTGTTATCACTTGAAAGGTTTCTATGACGCCGTTTTTTCTTTTTCGATCGTACGGTACATTGTTTTGTTTTGCGAGAAATTATTTTTTTATAAGATATGGTTAACATTAGGAGTGTTTTTTTTTCACAGGAAAAGAAGAAGGAATTAGCTTTTGAATTAGAAGAATACAACAGGCGGTTGCGTATGAAATCCGTAGGAACTATTAGGTTTATAGGTAAGTTTAGTATTTTTGTCACACAAAAAAATAATACCCTGTATCGTAAAAAAAATAATGATGTTAGCGTTGGGCGTTATGATCAACCAAATTCTAATGTAATTATTTTACATTACCTACAGGGTGCACCCTGTATATAAATCAACTAAAACGACGACTACACTCAAACTTTGGCGCACTGATATACTTTTATCATCAAACATACAGGGTATGCCATAAATTTGGCAACAAATTGGACATTTTTTTTATTGAATTATTCAGGAAAAAGGTTTATGCGGAATTATTTAGTGTACTCAGTAACAAAACAAATAATTTGACATATTGTAGATGGTAGTATGTTTATTTCTTTTTCTACACAGGGAAAAACCAGCAACACTGTATGCCACCATTTATTTTGTTTCTTTGTCTGCCAACCGGCCATTTATCTTTATCTCTGTCGCGTGCATTAAAATACAGACCAAGCAGATGAAGTGACCAGGATGGTATACCGAATGGTTTTAACAATATGCTCATTTTTATACTGAATTTTCCGCACATTTAGTGCTCTCCCAAAATTAAAAATTCGAAAATTCTTTATTATCGTTAATTGGAAATATAAATCACATTTTAAACGAAATAGTTCAAATGTATCGATATTTAGACGAGGTTTTTTTATCATTCTAGGTGAATTATTCAAACAACAAATGTTGACCGCCACAATCATGAAGAGGTGTTTGCAAACGTTGTTGGAGAACAAAGACGAGGAGAGTTTAGAATGTTTGTGCAAATTGCTGACCACGATCGGTAAAGAACTAGAATCGAAAGGCGTAGATTTGTCGGTGGTGTTTGATGAAATGAGGAGAATCACAGAAGGAAAGAGGCAAAAAGTCAGCAGCAGGATCCGGTTCATGTTGCAAGACGTCTTGGAACTCAAATACTCACATTGGGTAAGTTTGGTCCTTCGTATTATTATCAAAATATATAATTTCAAATATATGATAATAACATTTATCCAGGGTGTTCCAGGCTGAGCGTGCATTAGAAGTTTCTAGAGAACCACAATATCTAGGTCGGAGATTTTTTGCACATCATTGTTTTACAACGAGATCTATCGATTAAAAATATTTTCAATATGGCGGCACTTCCGAAAATACCGGAGGTTGACAGCAACTTTCTTGTTTTAAATGGGTGGCCCCATTTTTTATTACATACTTAAATTCTCTGTAAAATTCTATAAACACTCTATACCTAACATTAACCGTTTTTGAGAAAAAAATTATTAAAATTTTTGGACAAAAAAACTACCCGTCAAAAAATTATGTATAGCCTAAATGTCAAATTTAGTGATAACCACAGCCACTGTGCCATAAAGAGAAGACATGTGGCTATCTATTTCCAAAATTAAATTGTTCTAATGTCATATAATAATGGCTGCAGCTGTCATGGAATTGAGCGATTAAAAAAATATCATAAATCATTTTTTTAAATAGAAAATCACTTTTTTTATTTCACTCGTGAAAAGGCTTTTCAATTTGTTAATTTTTGACTATACATGTTCCTATACCTAAAATAAATAGTTTTTAAGTTATTTAAGATTTAGTTTTAAAGCGTATATTTTTCATGATTTTAACCAGTAGCCTATGACTTTAAACGTCAAGTGATGTAAAACAATAGATCGGCCATGTCATATTATGACACTTTGTCCAAAAATCAGTATGTTATCGATCATCCATATTGAAAACATTTTTAATCAATACATCTCGTTGCAAAAAATCTCCGATCTAGATATTATAGTTCTCTAGAAACTTGTAATTGTAATGCACGCTTTGCCTGGGACACCCTGTATATACCATGACATCTCTTTTTCTTTCATCAAAGTTTTACTGTTTTTTTTTTATCTCTTACGATTGTTCTAGGTGCCCAGGCGGGGTGATTCGAACCCCAAAACCATCGACCAGATCCAGAAGGAAGCGGAGTCCGAGCATATGTCCTCGATGACGATGAACGCGCCCAGGAAGGACGAGCGGAACAGCGGGCCCAGGGGCGGCGGCGGAGGAGGAGGCGGCGGCGGGGGCGGCGGTCCCCGTCCCAAGACGAACGAGGACGGCTGGAGCTCGGTCAGTTCGAGGTCAGGGCGGCAGCAGCAGTTCAGCATACAGACCGAAAAGATGCGCATCAAGTTGGTAAGTGTGAACAAGGATGGTAACGATTACGATGGTAACAGGGATGGACCTGTACTAGATTACCGAGATAACGTTTTTTACGCGTAAAAAAGGTCTGGGTAAAAATCATTGCTAGCATTCGAAGTAATCAATACATGTCATTGGCAAACAATGTTGACTAGACAGTTATTTAGCCTAAAATAATAAATTTAGAAATGTTTTTGTGCCAAAGGTTGAACAATTTTACTGTTTTTTTTTACAGTTTAAACTGTTAAAATTCCCTTATATCTATCAAGAATAGTAGATAAAATAGTACTTTAGCTGCAAGGGTAGATTAAATGATACTTTAACAGCAAGGATAGGTTAAAAACTTTATTTCTTCTCGCACGTTTTTTAATTGCTTCCATTTTTGAAAATTTTTGTATTCCCTTTCATAAGTTATTCGGGATTTAAATGGAAGTAGTTTGGATATGGCGTTTGTCGCCTCAGCCTGAATATCTGTTGGTAATTTACTTATTTCGTTTTGAGCCATTTCTGGCTCCAATAGGTCTGTCAACAAAATTTAGTTGTCTACTGCAAATTATAAATTTGTGCATATTGAAAGACTGTACAAAGTTTGAAAACAAATACTCATATACTTTTCGAGTTATTCGTAATTCAATTTGAATCCTTTCGTCGAGGCGGGAAAACGCTGCCGAGAGCCAAGGACTATACACACAGAGGATAGCCGAGTTCCCACGAAATTTTTGCCGAAGCGTTGACGTCACCATCAGTGCGCTTTCAAACGCCGCCCATTGGAAATATAGGGCAATATGAAGGATTTTTTAATCTAAGCAAATATATGGCCTTTTTTAAATTCTAACGTTGCAAGACATTAGAATAGATAGAAAGACACTAATACCTCCTTTATACTATAAACCAAAAGTGTTTGGATGTTTAAAATTAATGGATAACAATACATAAAAGTCTGCTTAATAGTAGAGTTTGGTAGAGTGGAGCTGTAATGATAAGAGATTCCAATTTGGTTATAATTATTTATATTTATTTTATCTCAATATTACATATTTATGTAAAAAATTAGATCTGTATCTGAGAATTTTGGTGTGCTAAGTAGTTTATAAAAATAAATAATAGGTACATACATTATAAATGTCATGTACATTATATACATAATAATAATATAATTATTATTTATCTTTTCCTGAGTCCTGACTGTCATTCACTGAATAACAAATTCCCTTTTATTAGTGGGTTTTGGGTAACGATTAAAACATGCAAACATTTTTTATTTATATATCACAAGAAATCGATTATACATAAGTTTTATTAATTAACTATTTTTTTTAACTTGCGAAATTTTATTTCGGTTACTGTCGGTCATAATAATTTCTCCGCTCTTTTAGCACGGGACGTAATCTCATTTGCTGTTTTCAAGGATGTCGTATTGCCAACATTTGATTCAAAGTAGGAACTGCAGTTTTCTTTAAAACTCTGCGCAAGGGTAAACCTAAAATAATATATGAAGTTTATTTTTAGAATTTGTTTTTCATAGAAGTAAATTTGTTATTATCTACCTAACAGTTCATTTTGTAGGTCTTTTTCATAATCATTTGATGTAAAATGTATGAGCAAATTGTAGAAGTATTCGGGTTAAGTTTGTCTTCTCGTTTACACCGATTTATCCATTCCTTTCTAATTGTGGACGAAACTAAATCCTTTGCCTTAGGAAATGAATGAAATATCAAGCTAACACTTTCTTTCTAGAGTGTTAACCTATTGCTTTTGCATAAAGCAACAGCAATACATATAATATGTACAATATAAACATCACACACGCTGAGTCTAGAGAGAGTCGGATAATAGACGATAAACACAGACAAAATATAGTTTGAGAAACATAAATATTGTTTGTATAAGGTCTTTCGAAGTTTATTATCACATCCAAAACGTTAAAACCATGTTAAAACGCTATAAAAATAAAAAAAATTGTCACTAAACACTGAAGACTGAAGAGAAAAGTCATAAAATTACACGTAAACACGCTAAACGCTGCTAATTCTGCACTGATGACTACGTCACGACCGTTCGACCTTGAGTGCTCGATATGCCAACGTTGTTATTACGGGAGTAAACTATCCTCTGTGTGTATAGTCCTTGGCCGAGAGCTACCGTGGGTGTGACGTCACATGCTCGCTAATATCAGAGACATAACAGACGGATCTGTTGCGCCGTTTTCTTGTATCCCTGTCTAGATTTAATTAGATTAGTTACATAGTTGTAGTCAAGTTTTATCTGTACTACAAGTTACACCACTGTATTCAGAATTATTTGTACCGATTCTGTTTTACGCTTAGTCATAAACGACCCTTCAATTATTATTAGTCGATGGAAAGTCCTTATTGTAAAATTATATAGCCTCTGTTCAGACACGTTTGTATTTTACGCAAACAAAGGATCTACTAGGTACAGTTTTAACACTAAATCACACTTTTTAATTCAATTCAGTCCCAAGATGTCGCTTTTTACTCTACTTTTCAACACGCACTTTACTTTTTACCTCTCTAAGTTCCAGACAGTTCAGAATCGGCAATTTTTATATCAAATTTTACTTTTAAAACTAATTGTTTAAGTTTTCCTTATATATTCAAATCTTCTCATTCAATTTCGAATGTCTTTTTACAATGTACTTGTACTTGTACTTACTACTCGACTGCTTGGAAATTGAAATTCAAAAACCTAGCGACCCTGTTCAACAGACGCTGACTTGGTCCGATTATAAAAAGTGTAACACTATAAAGTATTTGATATGTACCCCCTCCTGATGGTTTCATAAACTTTATATCTTGTGGGTATGAAGGACGCGCCAGCGATGTTGCAATTTTTGAAGATTGTGGATATTTAAAAGTTCTTCCAGAAAATTGCGTTATTAGTGCAGAGCGAGGTTTTAAACAAATTATAACATCCCTAAGGAAAAAAAATGTACATTGATCAGACCTCCAAGTGTTGTAAGTAATGTCATAATGACCAAGGATGACGTTCTGTTTACAAAACGAATTGCAAGTGTGCGAATACATATTGAACGTATAATAAATCGCTTGCGACATTTTAAAATGTTAGGACCCCACTCTACTATTTCTTCAGCAATGGTTCAAAAACTAGTTAACATAGTATTTTCTGTGCCATAATAAAATTACAAAAACCCATTATAATACAATAGTACATTAAGATTATACTATGTCTGTTTCTAAATAAAACAATGGTTTCCTAAACGATATTTTTATTAAGATCTTAAATGTTTATTCAGTAAAAACTGCATAAATGTACTTGTACTTACTACTCGACTGCTTGGAAATTGAAATTCAAAAACCTAGCGACCCTGTTCAACAGGCGCTGACTTGGTCCGATTATAAAAAGTGTAACACTATAAAGTATTTGATATGTACCCCCTCCTGATGGTTTCATAAACTTTATATCTTGTGGGTATGAAGGACGCGCCAGCGATGTTGCAATTTTTGAAGATTGTGGATATTTAAAAGTTCTTCCAGAAAATTGCGTTATTAGTGCAGAGCGAGGTTTTAAACAAATTATAACATCCCTAAGGAAAAAAAATGTACATTGATCAGACCTCCAAGTGTTGTAAGTAATGTCATAATGACCAAGGATGACGTTCTGTTTACAAAACGAATTGCAAGTGTGCGAATACATATTGAACGTATAATAAATCGCTTGCGACATTTTAAAATGTTAGGACCCCACTCTACTATTTCTTCAGCAATGGTTGAAAAACTAGTTAACATAGTATTTTCTGTGCCATAATAAAATTACAAAAACCCATTATAATACAATAGTACATTAAGATTATACTATGTCTGTTTTTAAATAAAACAATGGTTTCCTAAACGATATTTTTATTAAGATCTTAAATGTTTATTCAGTAAAAACTGCATAAATGTAATTGTACTTGTACTTACTACTTCACTGATTGCTTAAATTGAAATTCAAAAACCTAGCGACCCTGTTCAACAGGCGCTGACTTGATCCGATTATAAAAAGTGTAACACTATAAAGTATTTGATATGTACCCCCTCCTGATGGTTTCATAAACTTTATATCTTGTGGGTATGAAGGACGCGCCAGCGATGGTGCAATTTTTGAAGATTGTGGATATTTAAAAGTTCTTCCAGAAAATTGCGTTATTAGTGCAGAGCGAGGTTTTAAACAAATTATAACATCCCTAAGGAAAAAAAAATGTACATTGATCAGACCTCCAAGTGTTGTAAGTAATGTCATAATGACCAAGGATGACGTTCTGTTTACAAAACGAATTGCAAGTGTGCGAATACATATTGAACGTATAATAAATCGCTTGCGATATTTTAAAATGTTAGGACCCCACTCTACTATTTCTTCAGCAATGGTTCAAAAACTAGTTAACATAGTATTTTCTGTGCCATAATAAAATTACAAAACCCCATTATAATACAATAGTACATTAAGATTATACTATGTCTGTTTCTAAATAAAACAATGGTTTCCTAAACGATATTTTTATTAAGATCTTAAATGTTTATTCAGTAAAAACTGCATACAGTAATTTAAAAATTTTGGTTTTCCAAAAGTGTATGACAGAGTCAATAAGACCTTTTGTAAAATCCCCATCATATTTAACGTTGATAACAGTAATTTCCTTGCCTTTGTAGTTTCAAAATTGGGGTGTGCTACGCAAAATATTTCTTTTCCAACACCTCTTGCTAACATTTGCAGATTTATTTGTGCTAAGTATTTTTTCCCTATTTCGTTATTGTTATTAACATATTGTAAAAAGGCTTTAACACCACTGGATTCAACTTGGTTATAATCAGTATTCATCGCGAGAAAGTCAAATACCATATTGACATCTACTTGCGGTAAATTATGTGAATCTCCTTTCTGGAAACCCTCCTCCATATTTAGCAACAAATACGACTTCTTTTACGGTATTCAACAACAAAAATAATAATGTAACTGCTGTAAATGTCGACTGTACTTCAATACCTTGGATAGGGAGTGTCACAGTCAAACTGAATCACGGTCTTGCCGTCATGCCGTCGCAAGTGGAGCAGCGTGCGGCAGGCATGTGACGTCAGGCCAATGAGAGCGCGTTTATTTAATTTGAACGGAGCGCATAACTTCAAGAGTCCCTCTTGTCAAAGGAGTTTATTTTTTTTTGAAAAAAAGGTATTTAATTGGTATTATAATACTAAAACATTAATTTTTTACCGCTTTTAGTGCAAATTTTTTTTTAGTGAACAGACCTATTCAATCAGCAGTCGACATGAAAGAGAATTAAAAAATATTGACTCAAAACTGACAACTAAAGAGACAGCTTTATTTATTTGTCAAATTACATAGAAACCAACGCCAACTCAGCACAAAATTTTTTCTATTCGTAATAAATTCCTTGAAATAATAATTTCTGAATATTTTTTAAAACGTAATTCGCTATGGAAAAAATATTGTTTTATACACGAGGATAAAATTGCATTATCGTGTCCTGAAATTAATTCACTCGCCATTTCATCGCTCGTGAAGAGACATTTACTTATTTTTATCTGCGGAATATGTTGTTTACCAATTACTATTCAGACCACCTTGTATAAATATGTTTTGACTTTATGTTCTGATTGTTAAATTTTCATACTAACCTTTACAATTTTTAGCCTGAAGCCGATCTAATGTTTGGATCGCCCCAGTTGTTTGGTATGTGGGGCAAAGGTTCCAGCACATCGAAAAATGCTCAACCTTCTTTCGGATCGAACATGTACGCAGCCTTAGAAAACATGGACACTGAAAGGAGGCCTATCAGTAAGTTTTTTCCCTTTTTTTTTATTGTTTAATAAAATTTAAATTAATTCATTATGGTATCAAAAAGAGAACATCCTTAAAATACCAAATTCACTAAATAAAAACGTTTTTAATGGTGGGTCATTTGAACTACTTAACAATTACATGTGAATTATTTTTTTGTACTTTCTTTTTGTGTTGTGAATGAACCGCATAAATAAGTCAACAGATAAACTCAATTTTCTTAGGTTTATTTGTGTTACTTTTATGCCAGATAGAATTTTAGGAGTGGATTCGCTAACACCACAAGGATGTATTTGTCCGATGAATGGCGTTTGATAGTAGCCTCTCCACATTTTGTTAAGTTTTTATCAGAAATATAGAGGTACAGAGCAGGAGCATTACTATAAACAATAATTAAAGTCAATTTTTATTATACTTCAGGCCCACTAGGCATGTGCAAATGTATATTTCTTGTTTTATTTCACTGTTTGGAAGTTTACAAGTAAGAATTTCTAATTTGTAATTTTATTTTTCTGTTTCCACTCATCATTACTCTTAAAATTCTAGACTACGAGAAACCATGATTAAAATACTAAACAAATAGAATAAAATTGCCCAAACTAGTTAACTAATTAACTACTAATTATTAAATTATTACACATAAAATACTAAAAACTGTTGAGAAGAATAGATAAAAATTCAGTTCAAAAAATAACCAAAAATTAGAACACATGTCAAACTAATCTCGTAAAACGAATAGAAAAAGAAATTTAGAATAACAGCAGGACAAAGGATGAAATTAAACTCAACAAATCAGAAATTACCAGCTTTTATTATTACTTATTGATCTCTCCTGTATATCTCCTCTATATCTCTGGTTATTCATCCATATTTTTTGTCGCTGTTTTAAAATAGGATGCTCAATATTTAACTTTGAAATTTTCAAAATATAAAGTAACTTTATTGATGATAATTTGTTTAATGTCTCAGATCCCCGAGGCAAGGAACCGTACAGTTCGAAGGGACCCAGCCTCGAGCGCAACTCCTACAAACCACCCTCCTCGTACGACGGGCGTGGCTCCAGGTCCGGCTCCCAGCACAGGGACGCCCCTCCTACCGGTCCCATCAGAACAGGCCCCCCGCCTTCGCTGCCTAACCTCATGCAGCACATCTCCACCGGCCCGCCCTCCCTGCAACAGCAACAGCAAAGGCCTGTGTCCGCGGCTCCGCCTACGCTGGTCACGCCTCCCGCGCCTGCTCCCGAGCAGCAACGGCCGGAACCGGAAATGGACGAGGACAAGTTGTGCAATCTGGTGCACAATTCGCTGGACGAGTACTTGGCTGGGTGTTGTACGGAGGAGACGTTCTATCAGGATCTGGTGGTGACGATACCGACGAGCGCCTACGCCAAGTTGGTGTGCGAAAGGTAGGTTAAGATTTTCGGTTGAATATATACGGGGTGTGGCAAAAAGTGTGTCACGTATTGAGAAATTATTATTGAGTCTTAATTTGAAGAGGCGTTTTATGGTTTAAAGAAGGTCTAACTTCGGCTATAACGAAATTTTTTAAAGGTACATAATTATAATTTTAGATGTTCGTAAAACATTTAATCATGTTTTACGAAAAACATGATAAATGTTTTACGAACATCTAAAATTATAATTATGTACCTTTAAAAAATTTCGTTATAGCCGAAGTTAGCGTAGTTGATTAAAAAAAGTATACCATTAATATTGCAAATTATATTTTAACCTCTCATAGTATGTCTTTAATTTTTTGATTATGTAACGAATATTTTGTTTACTCACTTGTTTCATCGAACTGCTTGAATCCTTTTTTGCTTTTGATCAAATCGGTGTGAGAAATTATGAAGCTATAAAATGTTGTTTCGGGAGAGTTGAATATCCGGGAAAGTTGAATTATTGAATGTTATTGCACCCAACAACGCCCTAATTACGCTCTCCTTTACGCGTTAACATTTTTTCGGTAATTTTATTAACATTTGAAATTGTCACAACACGACGCCTAGTTCGAATTCTTTTTCACTTATTTTTTACTACCCGAAACAGCGTTACATCACACAAACCTCGTACCTAAGTGTTTTATAGTCTCAATAACTGCACTAGCAAAAAACAAATACTTAAATATTATGACAAAACCCTGATTTCAATATTTTTCAATATTATTTTAATGCGAGCTACATGATGGCGGCGAGAAATAGGTAGGGATAATTTCTGATTTTTGCCGTTGAAGCGCTGCGGTCGGAATTTGTTGAAATCAACTGAAATACACCAAGTCTATATTCGAAATAAACACAGAAAAACACAACTCGCTAATTTTTAACCATCAAAAAATCAAGTATGCCACCTTAATTCTCATTTTTCTCTTTTATTTTGTTACAGTTTCAACTACGTGTTGGAGAAATCGCAACCGGCCCGACTAAAAATCGGCAAACTTTTAGCTTACCTAATCAAGACTGGAAATTTCTCATTGGACACGCTCACGGTCGGTCTAGAAGAATTCCTCAGTTACAGCGAGGACCTGGTGATAGATATTCCCCAGATATGGCAGTATATTGCCGAACAACTAGGTAAGATTCGAATTTCGTAAATTCGTAACAGATACGCTCAAATTTTCTGGTTTGTCTGGGTCATTTGAACTACTTCATCAATTACAGGTGAATTAATTATTTTTGTGTTGTGAATAAACCGCATAAATAAGTCAACAGATAAACTCAAATTTTCTAGGTTTATTTGTGTTATTTTTATGCTAGATGGAATTTTAGGAGTGGATTCGCTAACACCACAAGGATTTTAGTCCGATGAATGGCGTTTGATAGTAGCCAACTCCACATTCTTTATTTTTAATCATATTTATTTTTAATTCGTTTAAAATTAAAAGAATTATTTCAAAATAATTTTTTTTATTGGAATTTAAATATTATTTATTATTATTTAGATAGATAGAGAATTTAATAAAGAATACTTTATTAAATTCTCTATCCAAATCACATATTATACAGATTATAATCTTTGTTTTTTCTTTATTGTTATTCGTGGTTCCAATTTTCGGAATCGGGCACTAGTTAGGTGACTAGTTTGCGCACATAGCACGCCCACTTATGGCCTCTAAAATTGTGCACAGCGCCTGACCGGCACAGTTATTAGAGAGATATCGCAAAACCGAATAGCGTCATGCAGTATTTACGCGTACCTTATCATGGTCAGTCATGGTTACTATATGCGCGAGTCAATTTTTAACGCAACGCCCGTTAATAACGTTACCGTCTGACGTAATTTGCGGATCAATTACACCAAGCGCTATTTCTAAATAACGTTTAAAAATTGCTTAAATGGGCATGTGCGGGTATTTGCCAACCGGGGCCGGCCGGCGAGGTCTTTTATTTTAGGTTATGTTTGAATTGTTTTGAATTATTACTGTCTTTCAGTTATTTGTCCTCATTTCTTGAATTAAATTGCGATAAGCACCCTTGTTGCTTACGAAATTTAAATATTTCACATGTCCCAAATGACCGTTCTCTTCTACGTTTTAACAATAAGTAAATGGCAATTTTACGCCTTCTGTTCCAATCCCACAATCGTAAAATCAATATTCGTAATCATTAAACAAATTTGAACTCATATTAGATTTGTTCGGGTTCTTGTTATTACCGATTCTGAACCGTCCTAGAACTCTGCAGCGCATGCGCAAATGAAATAATGTCTTCGTATTTCCTTCTGCGCATACGCATCACAATTCTAGGACGGTTCAGAATCGGTAATAAGAGAAACCCGAAGTAAGCTATTGTATGCTATAAAATATAAAATAAAGGTCGTAAACACGAATAAAAAACAAATTAGGTTATCTCAGGTTATGATTTTTTTTGGTAACTTTCAGTGGAGCAAAAATGAAATGTCCCTAAAAATTCGCGACTGTATGAAATAGGTCCAAATTTTGCGAATATTTTTTGGCGAATCGCTTTCCGCAATTCGCAATTCGCGTCTACATGAAACAAGCTTTAGGTTTACAGCAGATGACGACTTAGCCCTTCTAAGAGAATTATTTGTTGCTTGTTGCTCTAAACCCACTGGCAGACGTTGATCAATAAAGCACTGGAAAGAAGCACTTTAGCCCTTTAGTTTTAAAATACCTAGTAAACAAAACAATTTCAAAGTTTTAAATTCAAAGTTAGGTTAAGTTTAAATAGCGGACGCGAGGCGAACAGAATTCTTTCCGATCCGATAACTATAAATGAAGAGAGTTAACGTAAAATAAAAAATAACTATAAATAAAGAGAGTTATTAACGTCCATGCACGCTATTCGGTTTAGCGATATCTCTCTATTACGCTGTTTATTGTTATTTTAGGGGAGTTTATTTTTGCGCACAGGAAATTTGACTTGTTTGCACATCGTCATAAAAAACAATTTTCGTACCACGAATTAGGGATAAGATTTTTATCTGTATACCTATAGTATACTTAATCTGTGATCCAAATAAAAGTATCTAATATTTAAATTATTCTTTTTTATACATTACATTCATTTACATATTATTTATTTATTTATACAGGGTGTGCCAAAAAAAACTTTGCCACAAATTGGATTTTTTTATGGAATTACTTCATGTCTGATATCAGAAAGAATAATTTTGACATGTCATGGTGGCAGATTAGAAAAGTTGACTTCAGATATGCAAAAAAATAACTCAGTTAATAAAAATTGTTTTATTTGTTGCAAACTTTTTGGCGCACCCTGTATAAGGATTGGTTCTATAAATAAATAATTGCAGTCCCTACTCGTGGCCGAGTTTATTTTAATGACTTAATTTTAATAATTTATATTATGCAAATTAATTACGACGTTAAATACACTTTGTGTCTATTTTCTATTTAGTCTTTCATTATTTTTAAACAGTTTAACAAAAAATCAACTAAGGTACAGGTTTTTTTTCAATACAGTTCAATTTTTCCTTTTAGACTTGATGAAGAAAAAATGATTTAATATAAAGCAACTAATTTTATTTTTCTTCTCTTCCTTCCAGTTAACTTAGTAACAGAGTGCGTGCTTCCCATCAACGTCCTGCACGGTCTGCTAGCCCCATTGGTGCGATCGGGCGCCGCTCGATTTGTTTTAAAGCACCTGTTCGCCCTGGTCGTGGCTCAAAAGGGCCCCAATTTCTTGGAGACCCTGTGGAGGAAATCCGGCTCGCAATTGACGGATTTCATGGCGGAGAACCAGGTCTCGGCTTTCGTCACGGAAAACGTAAGTTATTGGTTCACATCTTCGAACTATAGGTTGTCCAACGAACCTGGGAAGATTTCGTCAGACGACCTCCAAAAAATACAGATAATACAATTTTTTCCATAGCAACTGTTAAAATTGCCTTATATCAATAAAAAATAGTAGATAAAATAGTACTTTAACCACAAGGGTAGATTAAATGATACTTTTACAGCGAGGATAGGTTAAAAACTTTATTTCTTCTCGCACGTTTTTTAATTGCTTCAATTTTTGAATTTTTTTCTATTCCTTTTCATAAATTATTCGGGATTTAAATGAAAGTAGTTTGGATATGGCGCCTGATTCAGCCTGAATATCTGTTGGTAATTTACTTATTTCATTTTGAGCCATTTCTGACTCCAATTCAATCAGCAATTGATACGAAAGAGAATTAAAAAATATTGACTCAAAACTGACAACTAAAGAGACAGCTCTATTTATTTGTCAAATTACATAGAAACCAACGCCAAACCAGCACAATATTTTTTCTACTCGTAATAAATTCCTTCAAATAATAATTTCTTAATATTTTTTAAAGCGTAACTCGCTATGGAAAGAAAAATTATACACGACGATAAAATTGCATTTTATTTATCGTCTTGTATAAAAAATAACTATTATCTATGATTTAAAATGACGTACAACTGTCAGTATCATGGATACTGTCGTTGGACAGACTATATGCATATCATTTTTTTAATTATATTCCTAAAACGTTTTTAACTATAATTTATACTTTTTTCTGTAGAAATTGGAATTCTTGTTGGGCGGCAGTTCACCTGTAGGCCAGAATTCTCATTCCTACGATGAAATCCACAGAAAACTGAGACAATTCCTGTCGGAACAGGCCCGATTTGACGATATCGTCAACTGGATATCGGTAAGTGGACCTATTTTGGATTTTTATCCATACAAATCATATTATATCTATATAAGCGATAGATCTCATTAAAATATCAATCTGAAATGAAAGTATCGATATTTCGAAAAATCGATTCTTAACGCACATCCCTAATAGTAGTTCAAATACATATATCGGATACGTCTTAAAAGTGGCTCGCCCCTATAACTTTTATTTTTCAGATAAAAAAACGACATTTGGTATGTTAGTATATGACATTAGGATTGATTGACGTATTCAATTGTTTTTATCACATGTTTCATCGGAAATTACTACAACTTTTGAATTTTAAATGTCACCCTGGGTATATTTTTACTTTATTCGATAGAAAATGACACTCTGAATAGAGCGACATATCATATCATATGTCAACTTTTGACATTTTCGCTTAAAAACATGGATTCATGGTGGGTTCATACACCCAAATAAAATAAAATAAGAAATATATATTTGCTCATGTACGATGGAGCTGGATAAAAATTAACTTTAATGATTGTTTATAGTAATTTCATTATGTATAGTATATTTATTTATTCGATGCATACTATATTATAAATTTATACTTATGTAAAATTATAAAATAAATTAAATCCAAACAGAAAAATTTGGAGGTTAGAATTAAGCGTGCGCAAAGTCGTTTTCACATAAATAAAATAAAGAAGTTAAAAGATAACCAATTATTATTTTATTTGTTATTTTATTTAGCTGTATGAACGCGTGTATGGTATCCTATATAACCAACTTCCTTATTTTATTTTATTTGGCTGTATGAACCCACCATCAATCTAGAGTTAAAAATACTAATTTTTAATCAAGGAGCCTTGGAAAAATAGATTTGATCGTCTAATGTTTTTCGTGTCTTGTCCTGGCCAGTTAAAAGCTTAAATCGTATTTCTATTTTTTCAATTTTTTTAAATGAAACAAGGGTGGTTCGTTAGCTTATTTGGAAAAAGCATTTTTTTACGAATAATTTGGTACCACACACTTGGTATTTCGAGTCAAGTTGTCGTTATGAACCACATGTTACAATTACAAATAAACCATATGCAAAAATGTCAAAAGTTGACATATGCTATGCCATTCTATTCAGAGTGCCATTTTCTATTGAATAAAGTAAAAAAATACTGAAGGTGACATTTAAAATTCAAAAGTTGAAGTCATTTCAGGTGAAACAGGAAGTGACCAAAAACAATTGAATACCTCAATCAATCCTAATTTATGTCATATACTAATACTAACATACCAAATCTCGTTTTGTTATCTGAAAAAAAATAAAAAAGTTATAGGTGTGAGCCACTTTTAAGTCGCACCCGGTATAGGAAAATCAATAAAAGTTGAAATACATTTTCATTTATTACAAATTTTATACGGTAAAGGTCGATTTATAGATTGAAAACGTTGCGGTTCGACGCCCGACGTTACGGTCGGTAAAAAGTTCGTTTATACGCAGGATGTTTTGTTGATTATAAATTTTTCGGTTGTTGTTGCGGTTGACGTTTTACGTCAAAAGTTAACCAATTTTTAACTTCGACAGGAACGTTGACCTTGAAACGTTAATAATAGCCAATAGAAATAATCGCAACCGCAACGTCGAACCGCACCGTTTTCAATCTATAAATCGACCTTAATAGTTGCGTCGTCTTTGATGCCAACTTTTATTGATGTCTATAACTTCTGCTAAGCCAAAATTTGTTTTTTTGTCAATTAAAGTATAAATATCTCTTACAGGCAAATGTAGGCGAACGGGTGGCGGACCACAAGTTCATCAAGGTGCTGGCCACTGCCATCTTCGAAACTTCCATACAAAGCAACAAGCTGGTGCCCGACGTGCTGTCAGGTCACGGCAAGCTCTTCCAGAAATACGTCGATAACAATATGGTGTACGAGCTGCAGTGCCTGTTCGCGCTACAGGCGCTCATCAACAAGCTGGAACATCCTCAAGGTATTTTTTAAAAGATTTTAGGGAATTTTTATATAACGTATCGATATTTAAAAAGATCGATACATTACAACGTTCTTACAGCAAAAAAAAACACTAAATCACCACAATACACCAAAACACTTTTACTTTTACTTTTACATAATTATAAATAAAACTTTTACATAATTATAAACTACTAATATACTAATTTAGTTTATAATCATCTGCTGATGATGCTATAGTAAACGCCACGAATGTTTGGCAGTGATTCATCGGTCGCTACCATGTGAACTAATCTGTTCAAGGTCACATAAAACTTAATTCCAGTGCCGTGATGTTTGAAGCCATATAATAATCAATATATAATCTGTTGTAATTTGTTGTTTTAACTATCAAAGTCTTGTCAAAACATATATTTGGTTATAAATATAAAATGGAATGCCCCATTGGTCGCACTGCAAGCACACCAATGGACTGACACACAAAAACGAATCAATCAAAGAAACGCGATATAGTATCGTCTTTGTCAATCACGCTAACATTTTAGAATAAGTAGGAGGAGCGCAGGCAGATGATTAGACCGGACCTTTAAAAACCTACGTCTGCGGTAAAAATTTACGTTTTTAATGTAAAAATGATAGCGTGCGTGTCGATTCTAACTTCATCAAGCGATAAATCACTCCCAAACATTCGTGGCGTTTACTATAACATGGTTAGCGAAACGCGCGTCCAGTGTAAAAGTGTTTTGGTGTATTGTGGTGATTTAGTGTTTTATTTTGCTGTGTAACACCAAAGGTTCCAACCCTCAACTGTAATTAACGTTCTTACAAGTGCATGAATCTAAACTATCGATATTTTTTGTAAATGTTTACCCTTTACTAGATTAGACGAGATCGATAGTTACCTTTGAATAAAAAGATTAAGGAGTCCTGTATATTATTTATGTTATGTTCTTTAAAATCAAAGAAGCGATTGCCATACATTACTAACATCTACAGATGCACGAGCAAGACATTTATTTTTATTAGATTGTATTAAAAAACCTCTTTTATTTTTCTTTTAGAGGCTATCGCTTCTTTCATTATAATTTTGGCGTTATTAAAATTTATTCTGTGCCCTGTGTCTCATTAATGCTGACAAATCTTAAATTTGTGAAAATCTCCCTTTCTTAAATAATCTTTATGTTCTTTAATTCGAACATTTAAGGGTCTAGATGTTTCACCACTGTAAAATTTATCTCATTCGCGATATCATACTGTAATAACCAGTTGTAGTTTAAGTAATATCACTTAGAATAAGTTCAGAAAGACCTAGGAATCCGCAAAATTTGGAATAAAATTCAAATGTGTCACTTGAAACGTCAAACTGAACTGTCAAAAACGGAGGTTCCTTATATCAACTGCGTCTCTAATGCGAGGATAGCATTATACTCCTTCGTTAATCTTTTTAGTCAAAGATAGTTACAAAGATAGATTTCTTACGACTTTGATATTCTTTGGTCATCCCTTAACGTTTATACAGGGTTCGGTAATAGTGCGTCGGACATCTCTAGCTCCTAGAATAAAAAACTTGTGAATTTTCTTTAAGTGCAAACCTAAAGTATGTACTAGGATGTATTTCAGGATAATATTTTAACTTTTATAGGGTGGCTCAAAAAAGTGTGAGTGAACACCCCACTCCGTATATTATTGAATTTTTGGCTGCCTTTCAGATTACTTTACATACGTTTATGTTAATTATCAAGAAACACATGCCGTTTCTTGCTAAAAGTGGTTTTTATTGAGTTTTATATCAATTTTCTTTATAGTATACGAAGCAGATGCACCAGGTCTTGGAAAAGTATTTTGATAGTTTCAGGGATATTAAGAAATAAATAGAAAATATATATTTTTCAGCCTTTCTAAAAAAAAATATTAAAAATACAAGAACTGTCCTGAAATCAAACCTGTATTAGGTATTTACTTTTGATAGTCTGTACTTACTTTGCTAAAAACATGATAATCGTAAGTCATACAGGATGTTGAAAATTCTACGCCAAACTTTCTAAAATATAAAATAATTTTGCTGTATATCCTGTATATTATTTTTTCAATAAATGGAGAGTTAAAAATGAACATTTTTTGTATTTACATTATTTCAAAAATTATAATGGTTTCACAGATACACTCAGTGTTATATCATGTGGCTCTTTCAAGAATAAAATACGAGAGAAAAATCATTGGATGGCTTTGATAAAAAGTTACTCTGAAAAATGCTATATGAAATATAAAACCGCGAATATCTGCGAAACCGTTACCAATTCTGAAATACTGTAAGTACACGGTGACAATTTGAAAACGAACAGTATAGTTAATATTGCCTCTACCGATGATAGTATAAAAATTTGGCGAAACACGTCAATTTACATATCAAGGGGGACACTTTTTAAGGCATTTGTTGTCGTGTTACTTTCAACCCCTTGACCCCCGGAGCACCTACCCCTAAAATTTTAAATAACAACCCCTATTTCTTTTACCATTTTTGTGTTTCTTATAGAATTCTACATAAACTGCATTATTTTATCATTAGTTTATCGAGGGTCAGAATGCAGTACCTCGTATCATTTTTGTTAGGATTTTTGAAGAAATCCAAAAAATATATCTAATTTTACATTAAATTATTATTTTTTTAATGAATAATTATCTTATAGAGGCGAAATATCAATGCTCTATTACCAAATAAAATATTTTTCATTGTTTTTGTGAAAATATTGCTAAATTTTTTTTAAAAAATAATAATAAAATGTTATTAAAAAAGTCATATGAGGTCCTGCCTTGTGACCCTCGTTATGTAGAATTTTATAAGGAACACAAAAATGGTAAAAGAAATAGGGGTTGCCATTTAAAATTTTAGGGGTAGGTGCCCTGAGGGTCAAGGGGTTCAAAGTAACACGACAAAATACGCCTCAAAAATTGTCCCCCTTGATATGTAAATTGACGTGTTTCGCCAAATTTTCATACAATTATCGGTAGAGGCAATATTAAATACTGTTCATTTTCAAATTGTCACCCTGTATAAAAATGTTAATGCTCTTTTTGTAATTCTCCATTTATTGAAAAAATAATATACAGGGTGTTCCATTTAAAAAACAAAGAAAAATTATTTTATATTTCAGAAAGTTTGGCGTAGAATTTTGAACATCCTGTATGATTTACGATTTCCATGTTTACAGCAAAGTAAGTACAGACTATCTAAAGTAAATGCCTAATACAGTTTTGATTTCAGGACAGTTCTTGTATTTTTAATAATTTTTTCAAGAAAAAATGAGAAATATGTATTTTTTGTTTATTTATTAATATCTCTGAAACTATCAAAATATATTTATGGAATAATTATACAGGGTGTTCCATTAAAAAAAATCCTCCTGATGCACTCACACTTTTTTGAGCCATCCTATAGAAGTTAAAATATTTCCCTGAAATACATCCTAGTTTGTACTTAACAAAATTCCCAACTTTTTTATTCTAGGAGCTGGAGATGCCCCACTATTGCCGGACCCTGTATTAATTTTTGTTGTTTGTTACAGGGTTGTTACTGTCCATTTTCAATAAATTGTATGAAGATAGTACGTTTTCTCAAGAAAGTTTCATTGAATGGTCGGGCAGTCAAGAACTCTCCGAGGGCAAAGGTAAGATGAAAATTTAGAATTATCGTTTCATGATGCACTAATGATGTTTTTTGTATTGTTTTAGGTGTGGCCTTGAAGCAGCTAACCTCGTTCTTCACCCAGCTGCGAGAAAATGAAGACGACGACTACTCTTCGGATTCCGGGGACACCTAGCACGGACGCTTTAGTGAAAAAAACAAAAGGACAAAAAAAATTGCATATGAAACAAATAGTGAATTGATATAATTATAATAATAAATACCGATGACTGTATAAAAGGAGAAAAAGTTGTGAACAGTGATGCATAAGTGTACATATACGTACTTTTTTTAAAAGAAGATATATATATTATATATATAAAGTCGTATTTAATTTTTTTAACTCGTCACGATCAGGTTTCGATTCGCGGATCGGGGATGATTTTTACACTTTTTATTTATTTATTCGGAAAAACAAAAACTGAAAACTAATAAACATTTTATATTAATTATTATATTTTTATCGATTGTTGGAAGTAGAAGGAGGCGTTGGTGTTGCGCGGAAGCAACGGAAACGTGTTATACATATTTAAAAAAAATGGATATATTATTATTATTGGCGTGGCATACCAATGCCGTGCACGTGCTATACAGCAGCGGGTTTAAGAAAATTAATTGTAAATTTTATTTTGTGTTATTTGTTTTATTTTTTCTCTTCTTGCTCGATATTGTTAAGTTGTATATTTAAATATTATTAATATTGTGTATAATAAAATATACAAAGTGCACAGAAGACTTTTTTAAGAGATTTCAAGCTGCGGAGACAAACTGTTAAACTTGTTAAAAAACACAGAAAGGAACTAGTCGAAGACCTGTAATTTTGTAACAATACACTACACGAAGCTGTATTTTACATATTACACTGTCTCTTAGGACTGTTTACAAAAACATGGAAAAAATAGTCTCAAACCAAACTCCTAGTACGCGATTGCATCAATTTTCTATTATACATATAAAATGAGTCGCGCTGATCGCTTGATTTGAGACTGTTAGGAAAAAAAAAGTAAAAAACGTGGGCAGTTTTCATATACCATGTAGAAGAAAGAAGACGTTGAAACAATTTGTGCGAAACTTTTTTATAAAATTATAAGTTGTATTATTATCCTCATAAAATCTTGATATAAAATGAAGAGATGCCAACAGTGACGTGTTTTATTTGATATAGTCGAGTCTTCAGAGAAGTAAGTAAACATAGAGAAAAAAACAATATGAGGGCCTAAATAATACTGATATTGGCAGATTACTTTGACTTTCTACTATTTTGATGTAATTTAATTGTAGTTGTATCCATAAGTACTGTAAAATCATTCTTTGTTTACTTATTTTTTCTGAGGTTACACCATACAACTGGGAATTTAAAGATTAAAATGTTTTTGCTGTTATGTATCTCAAAAAAGCGCGTTAAAACCATTACAGCGCCATAGAAGTTCGGCGGAATTAAGTTAAACTGTTTGCGACAGTGGCATCATCTAACGGTAAGCGCTTGAATCACAAATTGAGTATTACAGATTTCTATAAAATATTATTGCGCTATCTTACAACAAGTAATGAAAAGTAATTTGAAACAGATTTCTGTAAATACAGATCTGGGCGACATCTACTTGTAAATACAAAAACTGTCAGAATAATTAATGGGGTGCTTTTTGTATACTAAATTTTATTATTTAAATTATTTACTGTGTTTTATTTGAATCCCGAGATTGAGAAAAGAATTAGTAAAGTAAAGAACTTTTACATTCTACTCCTAATACCTTACCTCTTTGCTCTTATACTTATACCGCGTGCGTCTCAAAAGTGGCTAACCCCTATAACTTTTTTTTTCAGTTAAAAAAACGAGATTTGGTATGTTAGTATATGACATAAATTAGGATTGATTGACGTATTCAATTTTCAGTTTTCTGTCACTTCCTGTTCGCCGGAAATGACTACAACTTTTGATTTTTAAATGGCACCTTCGGTATTTTTTTTACTGTATTCGATAAAAAATAACACTCTGAATATAATGACATATCATATGTCAACTTTTGACATTTTTGCATATGGTTTATTTGAAATTATAACTTGCGATTCGTAACGAAAATTTGACTCGAAATACTAAGTGTATGGTATCAAATTATTCGTAAAAAAATGCTTTTTCCAAATATGCTAATGAGTCACCCTCGTCCCTTTTGAAAAAAATTAAGATATGATTAAAAGTACGATTGGAGCATTTTCTAACTGGTCAGGACAAGATACTAAAAACATTAGACGATCCAATTTATTTTTCCAAGGCTCCTTGATTAAGGATTAGTGTTTTTAACATAACCATGGCACTCTAGATTGAAATTTAAAATACAATTTTTTATTATCGAAAATGTCAAAAGTTGACATATGATATGTCATTCTATTCAGAATGTAATTTTCTATCGAATAAAGTAAAAAAATACCGAGCAGAGTGCCATTTAAAAATCAAAAATGGTAGTCATTTCCGTTGAAACGGGAAGTCACCAAAAACAATTGAATACGTCCACTCAATCCTAATTTATGTCATATACTAACATACCAAATCTTGTTTTTTTATCTGATATTTTTATTCCTGATTAAAATGCAGCATTTTGAGATTTTATATTAAAGTTTATCAAAATTTAGATATTTATTTAGATATTCAGAAGAAAAAAATTCAACTAAATGGTGAATGTAACTGCTTATTCCCTGGTATCGAAAAATACCTCTTCCCTCTGATGTTCCTGATACAAATTCAATATTTTCTATCTCTGATATTTAGATTTTTTGACAAAATGGTGAAAGTAATAATTGCTTATTCCTGGTATCGAAAAATATCTCTTCGCGCTCCTGATCGAAAATCCAAGCATCAGTTTTTAACAAAAGGTAGTCAAAATATATTCCACTTGGTAAAAAGCAGAGGACTTGACCAACGAGTTCGAACGAGTTAGATTTTTTTGAAAAACGGCCATTACGGCCAAACTATGAGAGATATTGAGGAACGGAATAAAGCATTCGATAGGCATTTCAACCTTCTATAAGGGTGCAAAATTAGGGCGCGTTCGGAGACAAAAAATTGTTTGGCGAAAAATGAGGTAGCTACCTTTCATTTTTCCCCAAAATTTTTTTCGGTCTCCGATCGCGCCCTTATAGAGGGTTGAAATGTCAATCGAATGCCCTATTCCGTTCCTCGATATCTCCCTTAGTTTTCGAAATATTAGGGCTTCAATTTTTGAAACGTGGTCGAAGTGCTAGAGTCAGCAGAAACATCGTTGATTAATGCTATATTTACGTGTGGTCCTAAATTTAATCGGCGATTTTGGACGAGGTTTAAAAATTTTCGTGCAATCTTTGCCAGAGTTGAATTTTCTCAGATTTGTATCAGGAGAACGTAAGAGCGATTAGGTAAATACTATCTCTTCACACTTATGTGTTCCTGATAGAAATCACTGATTTTTGACAAAAATATTAAAAATTTTTGTTAAAAGCTGAATTTTCTCGGATTTGTATCAGGAGTACGAGTAGGGAGTAGGATTTGTATCAGGAGTACGGATTTGTATAGTAAGAGCGAGGGGGTAAAGGTAGGGGGGTAGGGGGCATTGTTTTCATTAAAAATACTGTCTATTCCTGAACAACTTATTAGGTTTATTAGAATACATTATTTTCTGTGATAATTAAATTAAATGACTTTCTATTTGTTCATGTATAGACAGAATTTCTAATATATTTTTGTTCAATAAAACTCATTTATTTTTAATTATTGTATTTTATTAACAAATCATTTTCTATTAACAATATTTATTATTAACAATAGTAATTTAAAAGTATATTAAAATCTAAGGTGCTGATATACGTGCTCTTGTGTCTATGTTGAGATAAATACATTTTCTGGCTACCCTTCTGGAAAGTCTTGGTTCTGTAAAAAAACATAAAGGAATAATTGATTGATTGTCCACTAACAGGATAGATTAAAAACTATTACTTGTACAATATGATCGAAAAAAACGGCGTCAGCGATGGCTATAAAATGAAAATCGCTGTCATTTTATATGTAAAATTATAGGGAATGTCATCGATCGTCATTTCCAAGCCAACTGGACGCCGTTTTTTTTTATTATACGGTGTAACTTTAAATAACTAGTAAATTGATACATAAAATATTATAAGATATATAGGAATCATCGTTTTGTTTAATAGTAATACAAGGAAAAAACATAATTAAGTTAACATTAATATCAGCTGTCTTTTTAAATAGAAAAAAAATAGCTGCGATTTTACAGGTACATTTATGTAGTATGTATTTGGATACCAAAATGATGTTTGTTACTGTTTATTTCAAAAAAACGCGTTAAAATAAAATGATTACAGCGCTATAGAAGTTTAGCGGAATTACTTTGAACTGTTTGCAATAGTGGCATTATCTAGCGGTAAGTGCTTGAATCACAAATTCGGCATTACAGATTTCTATGAAATATTGCGCCATCTTACAAAAATCACTGACAATATGTTGATACAGATTTCTGTAAATACAGATCTGGGCGTATTTAAAATCAGTCAGCCTGTGAAAAACCGAGATATTGAAGTGAAGTATGAGTGGAGTGTTTATTTTTCCATAAGTTAATTATTATCACCATATTATCACAATTATTATAATTGAATTCTTACATTATGGTTCGTAAGGCTCGTTTCGTATTCCTTCAGTTAGAACAAGTAAGTATATTGCGATTTTTGAAATAGTTGATATTTAAGGTAAGGTTATCTATGGATATTCCTTTACAAACCGTAATGTGTGAACGAATAAAAAACACCGTCAAAGACGATCGATTGAAATTCACCGTATAATTTTAAATGACAGTGATCTGAATTTTTCCAAAGCCATCTCTCGCGTTTTTTTCAATCGTACGGAAAAGGGCTAAATGCTCCCATACACCTCGGTTATTTTGCACGTTTGTAACCGAACGGGTAGGACTGTTCAGTTAAACACGTCAGAGTAGGTGAGTATTCGGTCCAGTTTTGTCTGTTCGTTCAATATCTCATCATTTTGACCAATAATTAAAGAATACAAGCTGGAACAAAATTCTTGAAAATCGCTAAAATTGTCGCTGGTGATAAATCCGTTGTTTCAATAATTTTCATTGCTTCAATTCTGTGGTTTTGCCTTCATTCCTCCAGGTGTTTTGCTTTTTAGACATGGAAGCGCAAGGATATAAAGATGGAGGCGTTGGCTCTCGCCAAGAAACTTGAAGAATCCGAACGTCTGTCAAAGAATGACGAAATCGGCGACAGACCTAGCAATGGAACAGCTAAAAATTATCAGTCATACCAACACACGATAGGTTCTATGAAGCGACAGTTCAGTATTCAGCCCAAAAATTTGCAATTTAAAATAGTACGTAAGCTTTTCTGTTAATAATAGGTCTGCTGTCACTGAATAAAAAGGACACTTTTAAAGGGTAACATCATTTTGTTTAACGTGTTTTTGAAAAATGTGCATTTTTAACAAAAAGAAAAATAAAAAAAAAAGAGCTCCCTACACAGACATTAGTTTGTGTCTATCTTCTAAACAAAAGGGTGTTTCGTGTTTCCCTTTAAAAGTGTCCAATTTGGCCCACCCTGTACATTATTAATTATTTATGACAAGCATTAAATATAATGCGAACCAGATTTATCGCTTAAAACCTTTGAATAAGAAGACTAAGGAAGGAGCATATCAAAAATCTTAGGTACACCGCGATGGGCCTCAAATATGGCCGACTTAAATTCCGGTTTATCAGTGTCGTTCTAATTTTATTTAAAAAATGTAAAACTATGATGTAGGGTAGACATGGGGTAGACTCAATAATTTGTTGTTTTATTTTACGTTGTGAATAAATGTTGGTAGTTATTAAAATTGTTTTAAAAATATATAATTCTAATAAAAATAGATAAGTTATAATAAGTATTTATTAACACAAACATCCGATACGCTACTGAAGCAGGTAAGTCAAATTAACGTATCTAAATTCTTTGACATTTAATCTTTGACAAGTAATAAATAAAAGCTAAAATGCAAGAAAAATATATAATTTAGTTAATTTAAGTGAATTTCATAAATGATCGGTTTACTACACGTATGTATATTATATAGTCACTTACTAGCGAAAAGTTGTTCCATTATTTCACTCAATTATTGCCGAGATCTACCGCACGCTACACAACCAACTATTTTAGAATCTTTTTCGATAAATTGTGATAGTGTCACTGTTAATTTAAGTTCTGCCACAATTTCCATCTAGATTTACTACCTTTATACAACTATCAGTAGTAGAATAAATAATAAATAACATAAAATAAGCTCCGTAAAGACTGACAAATCCACAAAATTTCAAATCAAATTCAAATGTGTCAAATGAATCGTCAAACAGAACTGTCAAGGATCCCCACCCTAGAGTGCTTTTATGGTGGTTTTTCCGCCCACCATGCATGAATACATGGATAGCATTATGCTCCTTCCTTAGTCTTCTTATTCAAAGCTTAAAACGAACCCCGTTATCTACTCGGTGTAGCATATACAGAAGGATCGGACGTTGCTCGGTGTCTACTTCACGGAACGTGCCCGGCTCGGGCACGGTCCGGTGTACTGTGAATCATCCTTTAGTAATAGGGTTCCCGTTTTTACCCTTTGGGTACGGAACCCTAAAAAAAAACAGAAAACACAGTAAAAATTACTAAAAAACATAGACCTCATTCTTTAAGTCATTAAAACTGACATCTTATATTGATCTAATGGGGCGGGAAAGTGAAATAGCAACAGCGGTTCCACCGTTTCCACGGAAATCTCAAATAAAATAGTTCCAGCCCTAGTCACTAGGTGGTAGTGTAATTAATTTTTAGGTTAAGAAGTTGCTACTAGTCTTTTTATTTTTTCCATCATTTAAGTACCTATTTATATTTACACCATTTACAAAACTTTGGGCGTATTACGTTGGTCTTGTTTTATTATAATAAACGATGTTTAAATATTTCACTTATAAATAAAAACTTTAAATAATAAATAATATTTCACATGTTTGGCCTTAATTTTATTTAATAATTGTATAAATTATACTTTTAAATCTTATTTTTTTACATATCACAACGATACTTGTTATTGTATTGTTGAATTTGTGTAAAAAATAAGATTTAATAATCAAATTTAATTATTTTAGAGTAAAATTCAATAAATACGCTCATTTAAAAAGCCCGCGCTTCGATCCATTTAAAACAAGGCCTACTCAATAGATGGCGCCACTTCTGTAGGACCATTTTTCAGTATGGCAGAGTCCATTCTTTTTCTAGCTAGGTATATTCTTTGATCTAATGTAATACCGTAATACCGCATGAAAAAAACAACGCCCAGTTGGTTTGGTAACGACCCATGACATTCCCAATATAATTTTACATATAAAAACACAGCGATCTTCATTTCCAAGCCATCTATGACGCCGTTTTTTAGATTGTATTGTTATACTGGTCTTTTTTCTTACTTTTATGATAGCCCGAAGTCAGTAAAATGTTCGATGCGAAGAAATCATACAGTAACCGAAAAAAAATCGTCTCTAAAGTGGGACACATACTAGCTGTTCAGTCCGTCAAGCATATAATAAGGAACTGCATGGGGCAGAAACATGGTGCCGAACATGCCTGTCAAGATGTTGGTACGTGTTTCACAATTTCATGGATCTAAATTAAGTAGATAAACAAATAAAATACTTTTAACAAAAAAGAGGTTGTCTGAAAAAGAATCTGTATTTTTAGGTGATACTGATACTGATGATAAATTGCATATGTACAAGTTTCTGGACAAGTATTTGGCAGGATATTGTACACAGGAGTTTTATAAAGACTGGGAGAACATACCTAAAATTGATTATTCAAAATTAGTTTGCGAAAGGTGAGTTGCATGATATACAGGGTGTCCCAGGCTGAGCGTGAATTAGAAGTTTCTAGAGAACTACAATATGTAGATCGGAGATTTTTTGCACATCATTGTTTTACAATGAGATCTACCGATTAAAAATATTTTCAATATGGCGGTACATCCGGAAATACCAGAAGTTGACAGCAACTTTCTTATTTTAAATGGGTACTCCAATTTTTTATTACATACTTAAATTCTCTGTAAAATTTTATGAATTTTGATATCAAACACTATACAGTACGTCTGCTGGATCTGTGTCTATGAAAGGAATGCGGACAAAAAATATTTAAATAAACAACAATATATTTTATACGTCGACTTGACGAGTACGTCACCGCAAATCGCTCCGCCCACTCATTTTATTGGCTACTTGCAAATTTGTCGAATTTTTATTGATGAGACGCGTCGTCTAATTTTTTACGAAAAACATCGAGAGAATATCGTTTCCCCTCTCACGGATACCCCGTAGCTATAGAACGGACAGACGTACTGTACCTAACATTAACTGTTTATGAGAAAAAAAAATATTTAAAATTTTTGGAGGAAAAAACTGCATGTCAAAAAAAATTGTATAGCCTAAACGTCAAATTTAGTGATCACCACAGCCACTGGGACATACCGGGTGCATCTCAAAAGTGGCTCACCCCTATAACTTTTTTATTTTTTCAGTTAAAAAAAACGAGACTTGGTATGTTAGTATATGACATAAATTAGGATTGATTGACGTATTCAATTGTTTTCGGTCACTTCCTGTTTCACCGGAAATGACTACAACTTTTGATTTTTAAATGGCACCTTCGGTTTTTTTTACTTTATTCAGTAGAAAATAACACTCTCAATAGAATGACATGTCAACTTTTGACATTTTCGCATATGGTTTATTTGAAATTATAACTTGCGGTTCGTAACGAAATTTTGACTTGAAACACCAAGTGTGTGGTATCAAATTATTCGTAAAAAAATGCTTTTTCCAAATATACTAATGAGCCACCCTCGTTCCATTTGAAAAAATTGAGATATGATTAAAAATACGATTTGAGCATTTTCTAACTGGTCAGGATAAGACACTAATTAGACGATCCAATCTATTTTTCCAAGGCTCCTTGATTAAGAATTGGCGTTTTTAACATAGCCATGGCACTCTATTTATTTTTTTTTATTAAGTGAGAATGTCAAAAGTTAACATATGATATGTCATTCTATTCAGAATGTCATTTTCTATCGAATAAAGTAAAAAAATACCGAGGGTGCCATTTAAAAATCAAAAGTTGTAGTGATTTCCGGTGAAATAGGAAGCGACCAAAAACAATTGAATACGTCAATCAATCCTGATTTATGTCATATACTAACGTACCGAGTCTCGTTATTTTATCTGAAAAAAAAAGTTATAGGGGTGAGCCACTTTCGAGACGCACCCGGTATAGAGAAGACACGGCTATCCATTTCAAAAATTCTTATTTTTGAAATGGACAACCATATCGAAAATCGAAATAAAAATTTATCGAAAATTTCATTAAAAAACTATTTTTTACGTGTAAAAAACTATTTGTTACATGCAAAAAACTATTTTTTAGTGTAAAAAATATTTGTTTCGCGTAAAAAACTATTTGTTGCACGTAAAAACTATTTTTACGCGTAAAAAAATATTTTTTAATTTATTACTTTTTCAACTTTTTAAACCTACACTTTTTTTAATATGTCCTTCAATTATGAGCACATGGTGCGTACATAATTTTTTTAATAGAAATTGTTGGAATATTTGCAAAAATTAATTTATATGTTTTATAAACACAGTATTGGATATACCTAGATATCCAGAATGATTATTATTCAAACGAAAATATAAATATAATAACACGGTCTGCCTGCGTGTGTCTGAAATAAAACAGAGAATGCATTGTCATCAAAATGTATATCTGCCTAAATTAGTTATAAGTAATAAGTTGCAAAGATACCTTCCGAGTGCGTGTTTCTAGAAAAAGAATAAATAATTCTTTATTAATAATCGACCGTGTATTATTAATCCCATAACCCAATAGGTTATGGGCCCAGTCACCGTACGTCTTAAGTGAAATAAAAGTAATCACAGTGTATAATAAAAAACAATAGCCAGTGGCGCGTCATCTGAAATAAAGCGGAATTAAAAACGGTTTAACGAAAAAAAAAACTATTTAATGTGAAAATTTAGACTGTGTGAAATAGTTGATCGAGAAGGTGCCAGTAAAGTGCTATGTGACGATCTACCAACATCAGTTACTGACAAGTGGATAAAATGGGAGCGTTCCAGAGATCCTGCGACAGCTAGAGAAGTTTTAGAAAAGTTTAATGACTGGTACTCCTGTAAAAAGGTTTCCATATAGTTATATGCCGTTTATTTAAACTGCAAATTAAAACCAGGTATGTTATTGTTAACATGAAAAAAAACTTGGTAAGAGAAAATACTGACACAAGTATGAAAGCTCTGCATTTCTGTACTCCAGCTCCAACTAATGAAAAATGAAAAACAGGGATAAATTTTCTCAAGGAAATAGATCAATTTTTAAAAATAAAAAGTTCAAAAATGTTTCCATTGTGACAAAAGAAATCATCTGAAACGTGATTGCCATTTTTACAAGATAAGTCTAAAAATGCACAAAAACACAATAAGAATATCCAAGAAGTTAGTGCTTCAATAGCAGTTGCTAAGGACTCATTTGCTTTTATGATGAGCAGTGTAAATAATGCATTATGAGGGCATGTTGTGTTAGGCTCCGGTGCAACGGAGCACATCGTAAATGATATGAAAATCTTCACAAGTTATGAAGAACTTGCGGAGCCAATTCATATATCTGTGGCGAAGGAGAACGTAGCTATTAAGGTCATCACAACCCTTGTCTACAGCGGAGAGTTGATGGGTGTCCTCTAAAGCAAAAATGTGCCGGCCAATCTCATCTCAGACATCAGACGTATCCAGGAGGCTGGAATGACTGTGGTGTTTACCGAGACTGGCGATGTGGAGATCAGAAATGCGATACAATGATAAAGGGTAAACGCATAAATGACTTGCTAATTTTAGAGTTTAATGTTCAAAATGCGTTCTCAATAAAAACAAATGGTCAGGCAGTAATAAGTTTTCATGAAAATAAAAATAAACTGTGGCATGAACAGTTGGGCCATATCAGAAAAAAAAAAATTCAGTCAACTTAAAATGAAAAAATTAGCTGAAGACAGTGTTTGTTTAAATGATGTAAATCCCCTAGAATTTTTATGCGAATCTTGTATACAAGGAAAATAAGTGCAACTTCCATTTGCTAAATTTAAAAAGAAAAATTAATATTCAAAGGCTACAATATATATGTGTACGGACTAATATGACATCTGCAGTCCAATAACGCCAACTACCATAGATAAAAAATATATTTTGTCACTTTTATAGACAAATATACGCATTATACTGTAACGTACTTAATGGGCCATAAATCCGAATTAATAATTTATTTTAAACACTACATTGGAAAAGCCTAATATAGAGAGTCTAATATAAACTTAAAAGTGGTTCATTTATACTGCGATAACGGCAGAGAATATTTATCAAATGAAATAAAAGAGTTTTGTAAACAAAAGGGGATCACGTGGTGCCATACACTCCGCAACAAAATTCAGTAGCGGAGAGTGTGAATCGAAGTTGACGTTAAAGACGTTGAAGGCAAGACGTTGAAACGTTGAAGGCAAGAGCAATAATACACAGCTCAAGGTTAAATAAGCGTTTCTGGGGAGAAGCAGTGCTAACTGCTACTTATTTATTAAATTTAATCCCCTCAAAAGCGACTAATATAGAAAAGACACCGTATGAATTATGACACAATAAAAAAACCAAAATTAAATTTAAGGTTTTCAGTTGTACTGCATATGTACATAATAAAACAATTCGATGATAAATCAATAAAGGGAATTCTTGTGGATTATGTGCCAAATGGTTATAAAGTTTATAACATACAAAATAAAAGGTTTATTATCGCGCGTGATGTAATTTTTGGCGAAACAAATTTTACAACATCACGAAAAGAACTTGATGAAACGATCGAAATTGACAGGTATTTAGTAGAAAATACGAATGACTCAGTCCCAATAAATATGAGGAGCTCTTGGCAATAGACTGTGCCAATGACAAGTTCGTAAACAATCTCCATCCGGGTAAAACAGATAAAATTATTAATAAATGTAATCAAACCCCGAATATACGAGGTGTCACTGATAAATGCATTAAACAGAAACAAAATACTCTAGAGTTAAGTGGGCAAGGTCAAACGTCGTTGGAAAATGACTGAACCAGATGGAAAATATCTGTGTAATCATTTTTCTTTAAAGTGTAGGAAAAGAGATATAATACAGGATGTGAGGCGGAGCGATCGGCTAAAAACAAAACCGTCAATTTCATACAAAGATCGAAATTTAGAAATAAATAATTATAATGTCTTAAACATTCAAACTTTAAGTGAGGAAATCCGAGTTGTTATCAGGATATATTTAATAGTAAAAAATTAAATTGAATGAGAAAAGGCAATTAGAGAAGAGTTAAACTCTTTAAATGAAAATAATACATGGACGTTAGTACAAAGGCCAGACAATGTAAACTTAGTCGACAGTAGAGAGCATAGTTGTCTGTTTAGTATGTTTGCCCACAGGTAAACAATAGCTATTGACGAAATCACTGTCACTACAGCAGTTCAAGAAGCTAAGAGAAAAGATGGGATTATGAGAAATATAAGAAGCAAAAGTTGTTTTTAAGATAGGCTTAGAGTAAGTTAAGTGGTTTGATTAGGTTTTCCTGGGTTTCCCTAATCCTAGCGACAAATGTTGGACCATATTGTAATTATCTCCCAGGGTGCACAAGGAAGGTATTTAACTCGTTATTTAATTATACAATAAATGAAAGTTTTTTTTATATTAGTATTGTTAATAATCTAAATTATTACATTATATTATTTAAGTTTATAATATATATTAATTTTTTTGAGGGGGCGTGTTGGAATATTTGCAAAAATTAATTTATATGTTTTATAAACACAGTATTGGATATACCTAGATATCCAGAATGATTATTATTCAAACGAAAATATAAATATAATAACACGCGCTGCCTGCGTGTGTCTGAAATAAAACAGAGAATGCATTGTCATCAAAATGTATATCGAACTGAAAAGTTCGAGCTCTGCCTAAATTAGTTATAAGTATTAAGTTGCAAAGATACCTTCCGAGTGCGTGTTTCTAGAAAAAGAATAAATAATACTTTATTAATAATCGACCGTGTATTATTAATCCCATAACCCAATAGAAATAATAACTGTTATAAGTAAGAGGCAGTTAAATAATAACCGGTTTAAACTTTCCAGTTTCAATTATGTTCGGGAAAAATCGGAGGTCGTTCAGCTTAAAATGAATGAACTTTTGGCTTTTCTTTTTTCTACTGGATATCTGTCTTTCGACGTGTTCAAAATGGGCTTTGAAGAGTTTTTGAAACACGTTGGAGAAATCGATCTGTACGATACAGACGTTTGGCTATTCATTGCTAAACATCTAGGTAAGCTAGCCCAGTAAAAAATATTTCTTCTTATACAGGGTGATCCGAACTATATTCTGGAAACTCGGCGACACATTCTGCAGATAAAAATAAGTAAAAAAGTTTGTATAAATGTATGTCCTAAAATGCTTAGTTTCGGAGATACAGGGTGTAGAAATTTCATTTTTATTTTGATTTTTTCGAAATAATTTCTGAAATACCGTCAATATTTGGATGAAAATTGGTGTCTGGGAGTTTTTTGACATGAGAAATTTGATTTTGGTGTCAATATCATCTATTCAAAAAGGCTAAAGAACTTAAAGCTCGTGGATATAAATGGTAAAGTGATGGCATCGCAATGGTAAAGTGATGGTGCGAAGAAGAGACGATGATGAAGTCATTGTTATAAAAAATGAGACCATGTTGAACGATCTGTGTAATTCTTTGGAAAATTTGTAATTGGTTGGGCTTGCACATATATGTATACATATTTTTATTTTTAGTTGTTTACGTTTTCTACATTGTATATTTGTTTTTTCATTATGATTTACTACTTTATTTTTGTTGTTATTTTTATTTTTCACAATGGCTACTGCAAATATTTCAACAAAGAATCTTAAGTTGGGTCATGTAAATATCCGCTCACTGTTGCCTAGTCTAGATAGCGTGAGTGATTCTGTTCATAGGTTGGAGTTGGACATATTGGGAGTTTCGGAGACCTGGCTTTCAGAGCGAATTTCTGGTAATAACATAGAAATAGACGGATACAATTTTTTTAGAAATGATCGAGAAACTCGAGGGGGTGGAGTTGGTATTTATATTAAGAATAATATAGTGAGCAGAAAAATAGATATTGAGGATTCAGAAAGCATTGAACAGTTGTGGTTAGTAATATAAGTTAATAATATTGAGATAGGTTTAAGTGTATTTTACAAGCCACCTAAAAGTAATTTAGTTGACGCATTGCAGCATATTGAGACTGCATTGGCAACAATTATTCCTATGTCCGATGAAATTTTTATTTTGGGCGATATGAATGTGAATCTTTTAAACTATAATAATGCTACAATTTCGATTAACGATTTTCTCACATCTTTCTCACTTAAACAATTAACCACAGAACCCACACGAATTGTAAATAATCAGAATAGTCTTATTGATTATATTATTACATCTAATGACAGATTAATTGTTGGAAAGGTATTACATCATGATATGCATGAAGAGACCGATCACCAGCTCACTTTCTGCACTTTGAATTGTATTGCTCCTCGAGAAGCGCCTAAAATTATTAAATACAGAAACTTTAAATATTTTGATACTGAAATGTTCCACGCGGATCTTATAAACACTCATTGGTATGATGTTCTTGAGGAACCGAATGTGGAAAATAAAGTAATGCTGCTTACTGATAAAGTAATACAATTGTTTGACCGCCATGCGCCGCTGTGCACTGTACGGATTACCAAGCAAAAGGCTCCATGGTTTACTGATGTCTTAAGGATTATGAAGAAAGAACGTAATAAAAAAACTGATGTCTAAGTACAAAAAAACAAGAAAGGAATGTGACTGGGCCGCTTATAAAAATATGAGAAATATTTTCACCCAAGCCGTTCGAAATGAGAAAAGATCGTACCTGGAGTATATTTGTAAGTCGACTGATAGAAGAGTTCTGTGGAAAAGTCTGAACGGTATGAATATTTACCGTAAGGCTAAAACCAGCAGAACTCTTCCCAAGCATCTATGTAATCCAAATTCTATTAATGACTTCTTTCTGGACTCCATTAATAAGCTAGCACTGACTCTCGATTCTGATATAGTAAAAAAATACGAAAATGGCCGGGGCTCGAATCATGTTTTTCAATTTAGAACTATACTGGAAGTTGATGTGTTGAATGCTATATCTAATTTAAAATCAAATTCTTGTGGCTTTGATGGGTTATCCCTACAAATGATTAAGTTGTGCTCTCCAGTGATTATTCCTTTTCTGGCCCACATATTTAATGAATGTATAACTTCCAGAGTTTATCCGACTCAATGGAAGGTAGCTACTGTAACGCCTATTCCTAAAATAAATAATCCTGGTAGTTTTTCAGATTTAAGACCCATAAGCCTTTTACCTACTTTGTCAAAGATATTTGAAAATACGATATACATACAACTTGTTAGTTATCTGAACGATTCGAACCTTATACCGCCCACTCAGTCAGGCTTTCGAAAGGGATATAGCGCAGCTTCTGTGTTATTAAGTGTGCTGGACGACATTATATCTGCAGCTGATGAAGGTCGAACTTCTGCTTTGATAATGCTGGATTATAGTAAGGCATTTGACACGTTGGACCACATGTTGCTTTGTGCTAAACTTAGTATTACGGGTTCTCTGTGGCTGCTGTTAATTTCTTTCACAGCTATCTGGTTGATAGGTCCCAGTTTGTTTCGATTAATGGTAATCAATCGGAGGCAAAATTTACTACTAAGGGCGTTCCTCAGGGATCTATTCTCGGTCCGTTGCTTTTTATTATATACACCATGAACATGGCAGTGGACGATAACCACTGCAAAATGCATAGATATGCCGACGATACCCAATTACATTTAAGTTTTAGAAAATCAGAAGCATACGAAGCCCCAAACAAAGTTGAACAGTGTTTAGAAAAAATATACACTTATTCCAGCAAGAACGGGTTAAAACTAAATCCGACAAAGTCAGTAATCGTTTACTTCGGACCAAATAATAACTGGGCGGCTCAGAACATGAAAATAAAAATGTCTGATTCGTTTATCTCCGTAGAAAGGGAATCAAAAAATTTAGGACTTATATTTGACTCGCAGTGGAGGTTTAGATCTCAAGTGAGTAAAGTGGTCAGGGCATCATTCATCTCCTTAAGAAACCTATACAAAAACACAGATTTTCTAAACTATAAATTAAAAAAGCAATTATGTGAGGCTCTTGTATTATCACAGTCCAATTATTGTAATTTTGTTTACGGGCCTTGTCTCGATCAAAAATCTAAGAGACAGTTACAGAAAGTACAGAATTCATGTATTCGCTTAATATACGGATTAAGATCGAGAGACCATGTTACATATAAACTAGATATGTTGAATTGGCTAAATATTGAAGACAGACAAAAGTTACATTTTGCATGTTTTTTACACAGAATTTTGCGGAATGGGTTTCCTGAGTATTTAACTAATAAACTTAAATTTCGATACTCTAACTATGCTATAAGGCAGTGTAATAATATGGAAATTCCCAAACATCGCACGGCGCTATATCAGCGTTCGTTCTCCTACCTGGCATCCAAGATGTACAATTCCAACTTGAATCTATACTCCCTTGATTTAAAGACGTTCACTTTCAAAACAAAATTAAAAACTTACATGTTGAGCGGATATAGAATTACACAATAATTTGATTTATTAATTTTTGTATCCTTTACGGAACAATTTTCATTTTTTTACTGTTTTTGCTTTAACTTATTAAGTTGTTGATTTTTCTTTATCTAAAGTATATTGTTAATTTTCATTTTTCTTACTATTTTTTTTTCTTTGAATGTTATTTTTTAAGAATGTATTATATTATTTACTTTTTTTATATGCTCGGTTAACTTAACAGCTCTGCTGAATTTCGCCGAGTAAAAAATAAAGACGTTATTTATTTATTTATTTTATTTATTATTTAATATGACTCCTATCATAACCAACATGAGATACAGGCCAGAGACATCGATTTGTGACGTCACCGCACTAGTCGGGCTTTTGTATTGTGCCATATGGTACTGCATATAGTTTTTGCATAAATAATAGTATTTATTGATAGTTTTGCCAGATATAAATATGAAAAATATTATACAGAAAGGTATTAAAAAATATCATTAACTTTTTATCGCGTTAAAGTAATTGAATAGCATTAAAATTTAGATCTAAAGCACGAATATTAATATGAAATAAACTACAGCATAAGATGAACAAAATAAAATCTAGATAATAAAAAGCGTGTCCTAAAATTGCGTTAGCGAGTATTTAGCAACTAGTAATAATATACCTTGTGATAAAAAGTTTCCAAATATTAAAAAATTTGAAAACTATACGTTTATCGACAAGTTAAGAAAATGTATTGTATATGATAACGGCAGAATACATTTTAAAGTTTAATTAAAAATCATTGTAAAAATTTGCCTAACATATTTAAACAATGTGGATATCAGGTAGAATTAACTATTATCATTAAGTAATTTGTAGTTCCATGTTCATCAAGTAACCGTCTCCATAAATCGTAAATAAAAAGATAAAGATCATTTTTTATATAAAATACTGAAACAAAGTACCTACAATTTATTTAATTTATTTAAAATATATTGCCATTTCATAATAATAATATATATTTAATAATAATTTTCAATATTTATTTCATCCTGAATTTCCAAATCTTGTTTTCTTTCATCGGGATGTTTTCTCTTTATGGGAACATGCACAGTCATATAAGAGGGTTGATTTGGAAAAATTGTAGGCACAGCATCTTCTGTAGGTTTTGGACGTGACCTAGTTACAGTTAATATTGTGCCATCTGCCTAGCCCTTTTAGCCAAATTTTCTCTTATCACATGGCATTCTGCAAAATCCTTCTCACAAACAGCAGAAGCATTTGTTACAGTGAAAGCTTTTTCGTGATGGACAGCAGATATCCATTTCTTACGTTTTCCTGGGTCCTTTGGGAAAGAGAACGTAGAAACAGATCCTGAGGACTTATTATAATTGCTGCTATAAGGCACAGAACAATGTCGCGGCATTTTTTATTTCACAAAGTAAAAATAAAGAAACGAAAACTGTTTTACCTAAAAATACACGTCACTTACGTTGGTTTAACACTATACACTAACACAAACGCTATTAATTAGGTTTTTATATAAACTTCCCAACTTTTTCCTAGCCCGGACACACAGTCGGCATCACAGCCGGCATCGCCGGTGTTACTATATTTTTTACCGAAAGTATGTTTTTTTTCGCGGGCACGTTGTTATGAATCGGATCTAGAAAGTTCACTATTCACTCAGAGTACATTCAAAATTATTTAGTATAATTTTATTAGCATAGAAACGCGTAAAAAACACAGATTTGTTGCGAAACTAATGAAAACAATTGGTTTGTTTACGACTACTAATTCTCGACCACTTCGGTAAAACAGTCAGGCCTTGAATATGACGTTAGCCACGCTCCTATTTATAGGGGGCGCCACCTACATGGGTTTAAACTGTTTTGAAAAGTAATACCTTTTTTCCGTACCTGTATAAAAATACTGAGTGAAAAAATATACATTTCCGTGACATTTTACGTAAAAAACGTCTCTTGGTAAAAATCGCAATCGTTCTCAAGATATTTAGAATGGAAATAGTCAATACATGTTAGTCAAGATTATGACTGAACATTTGCAGCCTGAAACACCAATTATAGTTTTCCAGTTTTTTCGTGCCCGGTTGGAATTCACTTATTTTTCCAATCGACATTTTCAATTAATATTAATTCTATTATGTCACTATTAGGACAATTATTAAATTTATTAAATTTTGCGTGAGTTTAATCTCGTCGCCACTTGTGATAATTTAGTATCTATTATTTGAAATAAAACTACGTTTTTAGTTTAATTCGGAACACCCAGCTAAGTAGTTTTATTTCAAATAATAAATACTAAATTATCACGCATGTCATTATTGACAAAAAATAAACACGTTGAGTAAATAGTTATTTGACTGAAATAATAAATTTGGGAAATTTTTATTTTTTTTAAATTAATCATAAATTGATGATAAAACACAGTTTCTGTTGAACTTTTGACACAAAAGCATTTCAAGTTTATGATTTCAATCTAATAACTATTTAGTCACAATATGTTTAATTTATATGTCAATGATGACAGGTACTGATAATTTCGATTCCAAAGATCTCGAGAACCATTACTCGTAGCGATTTTTACCAAGAGACATTTTTTACGTAAAAAACGTCGTAAATGTATATTTTTTTATTCTGTTGTTTTATACAGGTACGGACGAAAAGTTATTACTCTTAATTAAAAAAAAATTAGATGGCGCCCTCTACAAGTAGGAGTCATATTGACATCAAAATCAAATTTCTCATATCAAAAAACTTCCAGGCACTAGTTTTCATCCAAATATTGACGTTACTTATAAATTATTTGGAAAAAATCGAAATAAAAATGAAACTTCTACACCCTGTATCTCCGAAACTGAGCATTTTAGGACACACATTTATACGAACATTTTATCCGCAGAATATACTGCCAAAGTTTCCGGAATACAGTTCGGACCACCCTGTACAAAGACTTTTTAAAATAGCATTTTATCTTAAATTAGTACCAAGTTTTAGTTTTCAATCCTCCGATAAATATTTGAGATATACCCGATTGCTATTTTACAAGATTTCACCCTGTATATTCAATCTTAACTACTTATACTGTTTTTTAGCGTTTTTCGTACTAAACGGAGTTATACCGATCAATGGTCTACCTGATTTGCTGGTCACTTTAGTAGAAGCAGGTGCAGCAGCCGTTATTTTGAAACATCTAATTTCCCTGATCATTTCCCACAAAGGATCCGATTTTCTCAAGTCGATGTGGCAACAATCCGGTTTGAAATTCACCAACTTCATGAGCGAAGACAAGGTGCAGAGTTTCATATCAGAGAACGTAAGTGTAAAAGTTTTGATATTTCTACAAATGCAAATTCACCTCAAACATCCATTTAGCACATTTTTTTGCATCCATTGGCAAGCATTGACTCTCGTTATACATGAAAAAAACAAAACAAACATTTACTGATCTGGATAAAATTGATAATTAAATACTAAAACTCACCCGGGGGTACTCAGCCCCCTAGCCACTGACATTCTTATTCAACATGTCATTTGTACAACTATTATTATGATCTATCATCTTCGACAATTAGCTAGTGTCACCTGAAATAAAAGTTTATTTAGACTTTAACGTTAGTCAAGCTTTGTTTATTTATTTTTAATTTCACAGAAGTTAGAGTTCCTACAGGAAGACAAGAAGAACATCCGCCTCTCCAAATTAAACACGCAAACAAATCCATAATATCCATGGGCATTATGATCCCTATCATAATCTATCTAGGCTGAATTTTGATGGAAAAAAATATTACTTCATTGTTATATCAGCATTCTTGCAAATTATGTAAACAAACTTATAATATACATGGGCATTATGATCCCTATCATAGGGCATTGTGATCTAGGCTGAATTTTGATAGAAAAAAAAATATTACTTCATCGTTATGTGGGCATTCTTGCAAATTATGTAAACAAACTCATGATATCCATTGGCATTATGATCCCTATTAGAGGGTATTATGATCCCTATCGTAGGGCATTATGATCTAGGCTGAATTTTGATAGAAAAAAATATTACTTCATCGTTATGTGGGCATTCTTGCAAATTATGTAAACAAACTTATAATATCCATGAGTATTATGATTCCGATCATAGGGCATCATGATCTATGCTGAATTTTGATAGAAAAAAATATTACTTCATTATGTGGGCATTATTTCCAATTATGTAAACAAACTCATAATATCCATGGGCATTATGATCCCTATCATAGGGCATTATGATCTAGGCTGAATTTTGATGGAAAAAATATTACTTCATCATTATGTGGGCATTATTTCCAATTATGTAAACAAACTCATAATATCCATGGGCATTATGATCCCTATCATATGGCATTATGATCTAGGATGAATTTTGATGGAAAAAATATTACTTCATTATGTGAGCATTCTTGCAAAATATGTAAACAAACTCATAATATCTATGGGCATTATGATCGAGGCTTAATTTTGATATAAAAATCATAATTATGCGAGCATTCTTATTCAATACGTAAACAAACTCATAATATCCATGTGCATTATGATCTCTATTAGAAGGCATTATGATCTAGATTGAATCTTGGCAGATTGAAAATATGATTTGGATATTTTATTTCATCACTATGTAGTATTATTACTAGGCTACCAAATACATAAAATAATAGAATGCCCATTGGCATTATAATCTCTATTACGGGGCATTGTGATCTATAATTCCATTTACATTAAATATTCACCAAAAATTTTTAAATATTTTTCATCAAAAATTATAAAAGAACTGAAAAATAATCATGAAGTAAAATTTATATACTATATACAACACTGCCCATTGGGCATTATCATATTATGTATTACATATACTTAGTACATAAATAACTATTATACGCTCATCTGTTTGTATTCTTATATTGTTAATGATGTATTATAATATTTTGTATAATGAATATAAAGGTACGCAAAATAAAGGCTTTTTTATTACACATTTCTACCAAAATGCCTCTGTTATTGTAGATGTTTATTAGCTTTTACAGTAATTTATAGGAGTTGTATATGCAATTGAATATTCTGACAAAATTATTTTGTCGATTTCGAAACAAAATAAGACGTCGAGAGAAATTTTATTGTCATAGTTTAATAATAATCAGATAATCTATCATTTTCTTTAAGGCTTAGTAGGATCGTTGATACGTCCGGTGAACAATAGGTTCGGCGTTGATAATTCTTTATTTTTTTCTTGTAATACGAGCACGAAGGGATGATCAACAGTGACACGTTTATTACGAGGCGCCGAAAGTAAAAAGCTATTCACATCTGAAAATAAAAAAAAAATATTATATGTACCTTCAAAAACGCTTATAACAACAGTACTTGTATAAACAAAATAAATAACACTTACAAATATTTATATACACATTAAATAAATTAGAACACAAAAAGCTGCATGATTTATATGAACAGCAATAACTTATGAACAATATATAATCAATGATTGATAATGTAAGAAAAATGATATAAATGAACAGACCTTACCTTACAAAACGAATGTACCTAAGATATACCGTATGATCGAAAAAAACAGCTAAAACAGCTCCAGATGTCTTGAAAATGACGTCGATGTCATTCCCCATATAATTTTAATTTTACATATAAAATGACAGCTTCATTCACTTAATAACCATCGCTGACGCCGTTTTTTTTTCGTTTATTAAACCTTAAGGTAATTTGTAGGAGTTGTATGCAATTTAATATTGTATTTATTATTTATTTCACTGACAAAATTACTTATGTCGATTTCGAAACAAAATAAGATATCGAGAACAATATTATTGTCATATTTTCCTCAAGATTTAGTAGGATCGTTGATACGTCCGGCGAACAATAGGTTCGGGGTTGATAATTCCTTATTTTTTTCTTGTAAAACCAGCACGAAGGGATGATCAACAATGACAGATATCTCAAGAGACTCCAACATCCTAAAGTCTATTTTCACACCTGAAAAATAAAAAATATATATCTAATAAATATTATATGTACCTTTAAAATCGCTCATAACAACAGTACTTGTATAAACGAAATAAATAATACTTACGAATATTTATATACTTCAAATAAATTAGAACACAAAAAGCTGCATGATTTATATGAACAATATATAATTAATGATTGATAATATAAGAAACATTATATAAATGGACGAACCTTACCTTAAAAAACGAATACACCCAAGATATACCGTATAATCGAAAAAAAAACGGCGGCCAGTTGGCTTGGAAGTAACGCGATTATATTCCCCATATAATTTTACATATAAAATGTTAGCGATCTTCATTTCATAGCCATCGCTGATGCCGTTTTTTTTCGATCATATTGTACAAACCTGATAAAAAAATGTTAACGAAGATCAAAAATATATCTAATAAATTACAGATAAAAAAAATAAAAATAATAAATTATGATTTCATTATAGTTTTATTAGATTATTATAAAGTTTTTATGTCATATTTTTTTAAGAGATTTATATATAACTTTCTGTTTCACCGGAAATGACTACAACTTTTGATTTTTAAATGGCACCCTTAGTATTTTTTTACTTTATTCGATAGAAAATGACATTCTGAATAGAATGACATATCATATGTCAACTTTTGAAATTTTCGCATATGGTTTATTTGAAATTGTAACTTGCGGTTCGTAATGAAAATTTTACGAGAAATACCAAGTTTGGTATCAAATTATTTGTAAAAAAATGCTTATCATCAACTTTAAAAAAATTACTTATTATTATATTATATTTAAATAAAATCAGAATTATTTAACAAACTGTTTATTTCTGTACGTTAGTCGAGAGACTGCTTACAAATTTTTAACTTAAGAATAATCCTAACAAAAATACTCTTCGTCAACACATCAGCGCAGCGGCCAGCTGCCTGCATGATGTAACGCCTGCATCAACAAATTTATACTCGCCGCACAATTTTATAAAAGTAAACAATATAATATCGTCCGTAAAAGGCGTAGAATAATAATAAATGTAACATTATGTCGATTTCGAAACAAGCTAAGATATTAAGAGCAATTTTATTGTCATATTTTTTATAATAATCATATAATCTATCATTTTTCTTCAAGACTAGTTATTTAGTAGGATCGTTGATACGTCCAGCGAACAATAGGTTCGGGGTTGCTTCTTCCTTTTCTTGTAAAACCAGCAGGAAGGGTACAGGGTGATTCCTGTAAGTCGGTCATGCTTTTGAGGCATGATAGGGGACGTCGAAATATTAATTTTGATATATAGCACACTATGGATCGGAAATGCCTCTTACGCAAGATACAAGGTGTTAAAGTTTTTGAAAAATTACAGATATTCTTTAATAGTTTTTTAACAGTTGAAGGTATCGTTATAAAATTTTATTATAGGAGTCTGCCTAACAGAGACACTTTAAATGTAAAAAGAGCAGGTTTAATTTCAACCAGTGGCGTAACTGTGATACGCATCGGGTAATATTTTCAAAAAAAAAAATAGTATGCCACTGATAAAAATAAAAATTTCGGAGTTTTTTTATTTACTCGGTTTATTTCCAAGAAAAAATGTCTCTTGCAACTTTCTTCTATCTAACACCATTTTGTCACAATTTAAAAATATTTTTTTTTAATGAGAACCTTAAATATGCGAATTATTATAACTACCTTAAAACTACGAATTTTATTATTAACAATAAAAAAAGTTTAAATTTGTAATTTTTTAAAAAATTATTTAGAGCCAATAGTAAATAGTACTAAAGTTACCCAAGATGAAGGGAGCTAACGATGCACATGTGTTTCTGTCCTCTAGTTATAATAATTCGCTGTATTTAAGATTCGAATTAAAAAAATATTTATTTTTAAATTGTGACAAAATGGTGTTAGATAGAAGAAAGTTGCAAGAGATATTTTTTCTTGGAAATAAACCGAGTAAATAAAAAACTCCGAAATTTTTATTTTTATCAGTGGCGTACTATTTTTTTTGAAAAAATTACCCGATGCGTATCACATCTACACCACTGGTTGAAACTAAAACCTCTTCTTTTTACATTTAAAGTGTCTCTGTTAGGTAGATTCCTATAATGAAATTTTATAACGATACCTTCAACTGTTAAAAAATTATTAAAAAAATCTTTAATTTTTCATAAACTTTAACACCCTCTATCTTGCGTAAGAGGCATTTCCGACCCATAGTGTGCTATATCAAAATTAATATTTCGACGTCCCCTATCATTCCTCGAAAGCATGACCGACTTACAGGAATCACCCTGTATAATAAACACCGAAAGCTGCATGAATAACACAAACTAAATGAACACGAATACAAACGAACACAAATACAATTATGATCGAAAAAAAACGGCGTCAGCGATAGCTATGAAATGAGGATCGCTGTCATTTTATATGTAAAATTATATGGGGAATGTAATCGATGTTCATTTCCAAGACAACTTGAAGCCGTTTTTTTTCTTTATATCTGTATATCCATTTTTTATACATATACATATGAATAATAATTATAATGTTTCGAATAATATAACAAGAAATAAACGGCGTCCAGTTGCCTTGGAAATGACGATCGATGACATACTCCATATAATTTTACATAGAAAATGACAGAGATCCTCATTTCATAGCATCGCTGACGCCGTTTTTTTTTCGATCAAACGGTACATGTTTCACCGTCCCCAAAAATACGAATTAGCAGATAAAAATGAGAATACGCATTAAAAGAAAAAAAATAAATGAAAACAAAATATTGTTAAGGTGTAAATTTCAATTTATTATCATAGAGGAATGATATATTTTCTTCACAAAAAAAAACATTATAAAGACTAATTACCATCTAATAACAATTATTAAAACAATAAACAGTGTTAATTGTATTAATAATTGTTATAAGATAGAAGTTACCAAACAATAAGTTTTGATTGTTTTAATTTAAGAAATGAACGTTTTTGTTGATTTGCGGAACCCAGATTACAAATTGAAATACATGGCGACATCTATCCTAAATTACGCAAACTCTAGACTTACAGAAACCTAGATTACTTGATCGATACAGGGTGGGTGCACAGGACCACTCATTACACATGATACATGTTTATATTTTTCCATAATCATAAATATGTTGCAATTCAGCAAAAAAAGGGAAAGATCTGTTACAAGATAGCAGTTATAATTACCATAGTTCTATTTTAACAATTAAATATATAATTTCTGCACCAAATTTGATATTCGCGACATCTATCTCAAATTACGTAAACTCTAGACTTACAGAAACCTAGATTACTTGATCGATACAGGGTTTACAGATGGTGTACAGGATACACGTTTATATTTTTAGTAATTATGTTTTAATTCAGAAAATGAAAAAATAGCTGTTATAAGTTGTCATAGTTCTATAATAATAATAAACTTAAGTTAAATCTATCATTATGCACCAGATTTGGGGCATGAGCGACATCTATCCTAAATTACGTAAACTCTAGAATTACAGAAATCTATATTACGTGATAGTTACAGGGGGTACAAAACACATGTTTATCTTTATATATATCTTTAATAAATATGTTTTAATTAAGAAAAAAATCTGTTCTCGAGAGCAGTTTTATAAGCGTCATAGTTTTATAATATTAAGACTGATTGGTTAATTTATCATTAAGCGCCAAATTTGATGAGTGACATCTATCCTAAATTACGTAAACTCTAGACTTACAGAAGCCTAGATTATTTGATCGATACAGGGTGTAAAAGGTACATGTTTATATTTTTAGTTAAATATGTTTTAATTCAGAAAAAAAGTGTTATCGAGAGCAGACATAATTGTCATAGTTCTAAATCTCTATTGTGCACCAGATTTGGCAGGATCGCTGATATGTCCAGCGAATAATAAGTTCGTAGTTGATAATTCCTTGTTCTTTTGTTGTAAAACCAGCAGGAAGGGATGATCGACGGTGAAGGGTATAGGAGGCAGTGGCATGCTCATCAACATGATTCCTACACCTAAAAAGAAGATAACAATAAATGGCATTAAATATCGCTATAAACATAGGCTTCATAATCTCTTATAACGACATTTATATACAAGGAAATACTTACGAAAATTATTTTCAAATAATTTAGGACACAGAGAAAGCTGGATGAATATAACAAACACAAATAAGTTACATCAAGTTTGACAGTATATTTATACTAGCAAGAAAACAAGTATATAAATGAATTTTCTTTTTTTCTTTTTATGTACAGGAAGTTAATTTAAAAAAAAAGTATGTACAGGGTGGCTCGAATTCGACACTCATCATTGGGATTTGGGAAACCGTAGGAGATACAGGATCGGTTAAAGGGAGGCAAAGTTGCGCAATTTGATGCTCAATAAAATGCCGTATTGCATTTTGAAAAATTCCGAATACTTACGAATATATTCGAAAAAAAAAACGGAATTTTCAATTTTGTTTTCTATTGTTTCCTGGATTTATTTGTTAAGATAACTTAAAATGAAAAACACATTTTCATGGTCACTTTTTCTGCTCTATAACTCTCTGTGATTAAATATATATATATTTTTTCTCCTTTCTTGGGTATGAGGTTTTTTTTATATTAATTGAAAATGGAAACTTTTTTTTTATTATTATGCGACGTTTCGCCTCATCATGGTGGGCTTTCTCAGGCACTTTATTCTTGAAGCCGCAGCCGCCTTGCTACCACCAGTCTATATGTATAAACATTCACTTACATTCTTCTATATAGACTGGTGGTAGCAAGGCGGCTGCGGCTTCAAGAATAAAGTGCCTGAGAAAGCCCACCATGATGAGGCGAAACGTCGCATAATAATAAAAAAAAGTTTCCATTTTCAATTAATATAAAAAAACCTCATGCCCAAGAAAGGAGAAAAAAAAATATATATAAATTTCTAAAGGTTTAAGAAAAAGAAAAAAAAAACTCAGTGATTAAATATTGACTCTGACGTTTCGGCTTCTGGCGACCATCATCAACTTATTTTTTTTAAATACGGACCTGATTTTTTTTTCAATTTAATTTCATCACTTTTAAAACACTATATAAAGTCATTTGCCGACGTTTCGCACAGAAAAATTCCATCACCAGAATATTTTATGCAAAAAAAATAAAAAATGAAAATGCAATACGGCTACGGCATTTTATTGAGCATCAAATTGCGCAACTTTTCCTTCATTTAACCGATCCTGTATCTCTTACGGTTTCCGAAATCCCAATGATGAGCGTCGAATTTGACCCACCCTGTACAGGGTGGCTCGAATTTTCTGTAGTGGCACCCTTTTCTGTAGGAGATAGACAAAAACTAATATTGGTGTCTGGAGCTCATTTTTTCTCAAAAACATGATGTTTTTGAGAGGAAAAATGGTGTTTTTAAAAAATATGCATTTTTAACAAATCGCTGTAACTTTTTTGCTATGAAAAATTTTGTATTTTTATGAAAATATTGCCAAAGCACCTTTTTACGTAGAATTTGATGGTTTAAGTATAATTTTTTTAAAATTAATAATTTAAGAATTATCAACAGAAAATTTGATTTTTTATATGGGACACCCTGTATATTTTTAATTTATTGAAAATAATTTAAAATTACCTTTCCAAAAATATAACACACTTGATATTTTGCTCGATTCCTCTTCGAGATATAGAGTATATAAAAATTCGCCCGCTTTAAATAAGTAGGCTTTGAATGGCACCAGCTGTAATGCAAAAAAATTCTAGCTGTGAGCGATGCAGAATTTTATAACAATTTAAAATATATTTAAAATGCACGATTTTCAACATCTTTTTTTAGCGAAAAAAACCGCATGTTCCTGGGGTCGAAATATACCATCCCTGAAAATATTTGCACTTATTTAAGACTCACCCTGTATATCTTTATGAAACTTGATAAGACGTCTTCTATGCATCAAAATGCTTTTATGAATGTCATGTTATTATGAAACACCCTGTATTTTGAATTAAAATTACAGGCAAGAATTGTAGCTCTATTTTTTCTCAATTCATGAAAGGAAACAAAACATTAAAGAAAAATAATGTTAAAACTTGAATTTATTGTCATAAATAAAAATGGAATGGTACATTTTCTACACAAAAAAAACGTCTTAAAGACTAATTACTACCTAGCAACAAATATTAAAACGAAAAAACATACGTATATATAAAAAACAAGAGATATGTTTTGATTTCAAAATTACCTATATCTCAAAATTCCGAAATCAAAACATAATAATATATAAAATTAAATAATATCAATAATAATAACAGTAATAGTAGTGTTACTGGCTAAAGACTAGTTTTCCCACAAAGATATTATTCGAGGTCCTGGCCCTGCGCCTGCGGTTGATCCTCTGGTGGTGCTGCAGGGCGAATATACAGGGGTGGTCGACGAAGAACTTTTCCGTCAGTTCGTATAGCTTCATTTTTCTCGACGATATGTTCATATCTGTCGCACAAAACAACAACGTGTGCCTTTAAAAATGTCTTATCTATCCATGCAGTTACCTTTTAATATTATACAGGGTAAACCGGTTTTTAGTAGCAGCACTTTAATAGTCGATAGAAAAAACAAATTTTCGAAACCAAAAAATTAGACATTTTATAAAAAATTCGACATAATGTTTTGCGGATTTGTTGGGCTTTTTTGAGGTTATTTTATGTACTAAAAACCAGGCCACCCTGTATATATTCTACTAAGCTAAATACAAATCGCCCTGTACAATTATACAGAGCGCTTGTTTCTTATTCTTTATAGTACAAAGAGGATAGAAACTTATTCTAACTGTTCCAAAACACTAAAAAAAAATGAAACAAAAAATACTAAACTATGTCAGACTTTTTATAATGCGGTAAAATTATATTCTACCACCCTGTATAACAATAATAAATTAATTAAATCATAGTATAAACGTTTTGTTATGAGTCTAATTTTGGAGTTTTATGAGGTATAAAATTTATTTTGCCCAACATTAGAGGTAATCTAACCCTAGATCTTCTGTGTTTCAGAATTCTTATTTTTTTCGCTATAAAAAAAACAAACGGTCTGTTAGCTTCGAATTGGTGTTTGCGTTTTTTCCGAGACGGTGCCATTCTGGCCATGATTTTTATATCTGTTCAATTAAAAAAAATAATTTTTATTATTACATGTTACATTTAACGATAGCAATAAAAACTGCCGTTTGTAAAAAACTAACAATACATTTTTAACTAATTGATATAAAACACAAAACATCGTAAAAAACATGCAGAACAAATAATTATTTTTTTTTAAACACTTAAAAATTTAATAAAAAACTAACTTGTGAATTCACGGAGAGAATTTTCTTACTTGAGAACTAATTTTTGTCTAACCAACAATGCTTGAAAGGAAGAAGTATATACAGGGTGTAGAAAAAATACTAATAGATGAGATTCTTTTTCTATGCTTGTTTAAAAAAAAAATAACTGTTTTTTACATATAAAATGTTTGGTTTGGTGTTTCCCTATAGATATTTGCTTAGTATACAGGGTGAAGCAGAATTATTTTTTTTTCAAAAACGTTTCACACTTTTAGGTAGAATATACAGGGTATTCAAACAGAGATATCTGAAAATAAGTATAAATCACCTTGTTTAAAAATTAAAATTAAAATATACAACATTAGACTATAAATTATTTTTAGTTTTTTATCTTTGTAGTTGTATTTTTCATATTATTTACATTACCCTCCTTTAGCATTAAATTGGATGAGATTATATGTCAAAATAAGTTTCTATCGACTGAATAAATCTTTATATTTGCCCCCTGTATATTGTAAGGATTAGCGATGGGAACTATCGAATGAATTAGACTATCGAATGGTTAATGAATGAATGATTTCAACTATCGAATGGTTTTATTCGAATAAAATCATTCATTCATTTGTAAACTAAAGCATATGTGACAATCTCGCCGTGCGACTAAATGGTTATCGTTGAGCCACGACTATCGAATGCTTTTGATAAATGAAATTTAGTATTCGTTTGGATTTTGTATGCGTCAGTGCATTATTGGTTCTTCCAAATTTTTATAACTTCGCCGTATAAATACTGTGCTATTTTTGCGTTTATTAAAATAGTTAAAATACTAAAATAGTAGTTATTTTTTAATTTTATTTATTGACGATTGTGTGCATGTGCAGGTGGTCAAAATTTTTCCGATAATTTGTGTGGTTTTCCGTAGTCCGATCTTTCAATTATTTCATTTTATATGGTATATGGTCTATTTTTTAATGGGAAATTTTGAGAAGTAGCAATTTTTAAGAGAGATGAGATGAACTTACAATTAATTTTAAAAATACATATTTGTATTTTAGATGTTTTAATAATACCTATGAATTAGTTGGAACTTAATAATTATATTTAAGTAATGTGGTTAAATAAATGGTTATCGAACTCAAACTATGGGGTGAGAAAATTAAAATGAAAATTTTACACGTGCCAATTTAAAAAAAAAGTTAACGATGTTTGTATTTTGTTTATGCTAATTCTCTTACATGTAGTTTTTTGCGAAGAAATATTTCATTTATTTTTTAAAGTAAATGCCAGTAAAAGTAAATATAATTTTTAAATAGTAATATAAAGCACCTAATATAAATAATTTTGATTTCTAATTTTTATTTATATTTTCCTTCCATTACACCGCTTGCTTAGAAAATTAATAAATGTTTATATTTCATGATTTTAAAATTTGTTGTTAATATAACAAATTAGTTCTGTAATTATTATTATTTAATAAACCAACGTTGCCAAAAAAATTAGAGACTATATTATTTTTAAATAGGATCTGATATAAATAATTTTGACATCTAATTTGTTGTTTATATTTTGCTACTACTTAAAAAAAATATTTATATTAAATGATTTTAAATTTTGTTGTTAATAGGTATAACAAATTATTACTGTTATTTTTATTTATTAAACTAGTCTTTGCTTAAAAACATTAAAAATAATTTTCCTACATCCAAAATAACAAGTATTATTGCAGTGTAACAACAGAATATTAATAAAAAAATGCAGAATATATAGACATACTATCCCTAACTAACTAAAGCCAAATAATAATATTCTTTGCTAATATCAACTAATACAAAAATATGGCAACAGTGCCCTTCATAATGTATTTTCTGTGTAAATACTAGCACCTCAATAACAAAAATAATGTGTCCTTATCTATATATGACTCCGCAAAAAATCAAAGATGCCGGCTTCTTTCATAGCATTGCCACCGACCGCTTTCTCGGAAAAAAACCTACGTCGCCGGGCGACAACTAAAATTCAGTTAATATTTTATTATAATCGATCCTGACGAATAAATGAATTTCATAAATGAATGAATTTTATAAATGAATGAATTTTATAAATGAATGAATTTTATAAATGAATGAATTTTATAAATGAATGCATTTTATAAATGAATGAATTTTATAAATGAATGGTTTTTGCTGCCGAATTACTAGAATACAATATTTCAAGGCAGATGACGGATCTATTCGATAATTTTTATTCGAATAGTTTTCAACGAATGTTTTCTTACTAACTATCGAATTATTCGAATGAATTGCAACTATCGAATGTTTCGATAGTATTCATTCGATAGTTCCCACTACTAGTAAGGATGGGCATTTTTTTACAATTATTTCGGGCAAAAGTTCAATACAAACGGCAGTGATTCCCCCGTTCATGCGACATTAACCCTCATTCTTCATGCAACCCCCTATACACGATTCAAACTTGTGTATATGTGTGAATCTGTACTGTAAACTATTTTTAATTCCATGTTTAACATTTCTTGACAACAAAAAATATTTTTTTTATAATCAGATTTATATATTTAGCTTGAATTTTTAGAGTGAATCGCTTTAAATAGTGTTGTCAACTTTTTAAAATAACAAGCTTTTATCTTTTCAAATTACAATGAATAGTCTGATAAAAATAGATTCCAGATGGTTTATATTTTACTGAGAATACAAAAGTTACGTATTATCTACACATTCTGTTCTATAAGGATGAAAAACAAAAAAAAATGGTTCAAGTTCTCTGTTTTCCATCGGAATTTATAACTACACTGCTACACTTATAACACTACGTCAAAAACTTCTCTCTAATGTCATGCATATTGCTACAAAACCAATGCAATTTTTTAAATTTTATTTATATGTCAAAAACACATGTAGTAGTATCTTTCTAATCTAAATACTACTTGTTAATAATAACAAATAATTAACAAACTACCTAATACTGAATTCAATTTGTGTGCAAATAAATTTTAACAAAACTTGTACAGTAGCAATGTTGATTTTAGTATTAGTTAATATTTTTTACAACACGGATAATGCTAAGGTTCAGTTTTATATCAACTTCAGGAATTCTTGAAGTGATGAATCCACAAAAAACAAGTAATAAGTAATTATTTCCTCATTTAAATATAATTTCTTTTATCAAATATTCCAGTATTTGGCCAGTCCAGAAAAGGCCAATAATTGGCCTTTTCTCAATTGAAGATCGCTTTCAGTGACGAATATCGATATACCGGGTGCGTCTCAAAAGTGGCTCACCCGTATAATTTTTTATTTTTTCAGATAAAAAATCGAGATTTAGTATATTAATATATGACATAAATTAGGATTGATTGACGTATTCAATTGTTTTCTGTCACTTCCTGTTTCACCGGAAATTACTACAACTTTTGATATTTAAATGGCACCCTCGGTGTTTTGTTCCTTTATTCGATAGAAAATGACACTCTAAATAGAATGACATATCATATATCAACTTTTGACATTTTCGAATATGGTTTATTTGCAATTGCAACCTGCGATTCAAAACGACAATTTGACTCAAAATACCAAGTGTGTGGTACCAAATTATTCGTAAAAAATACTTTTTCCAAATATGCTAATGAGCCACCCTCGTTCCATTTGAAAAAATTGAGATATGATTAAAAATACGATTTGGGCACCTTTTAACCGACCAGGATCAGACACGAATAACATTAGGCGATCAAATATATTTTTCCAAGGCTCCTTGATTAAAAATTAGTGTTTTTAACACAGCCATGGCACTCTAGATTGAAATTTAAAATTTAATTTTGTTTTAAGCAAAATGTCAAAAGTTAACATATGATATGTCATTCTATTCAGAATGTCATTTTCTATCGAATAAAGTAAAAAAATACCGAGGGTGCCATTTAAAAATCGAAAGTTATAGTCATTTCCGGTGAAACAGGAAGTGGCCGAAAAGAATTGAATATGCCAACCAATCCTAATTTATGTCATATACTAACATACCAAATCTCGGTACTAACATATCAAATCGTCATATACTAACATACCAAATCTGATAAAATAAAAAAGTTATAGGGGTGAGCCACTTTTGAGACGCACCCGGTATAGAATACTTAATATTCGTTAATCACATACAATCTAAGAGACAAATAACGAATATATAAAACATCGCTATTTACTAAAAAAAATAACGAATACATTAATATCTGTTAACAAACATAACAAATACATCAGCATTCGTTATCAGTAATAATGAATACGCTAGTATTTGATATCAGAAATAACGAATACATTAGTATTTTGGTATTAGAAATAACGAATACACTAGTAAACATGGAATACACTAGAAGCAGAAATAACAAAATATTTCATATTTTATATCTAAGAATTCTAAGATATTAGTATTTGTTAACAGAAGTAACGAATACGCTAGTATTCCTTTTCCGGTACAACGAATATACAACTATAATATTAAAAATAACGAATATACTAATATTCGTTATGAGAAATAACGTAATACATTAGTATTCAATATCAGTAATAACAAAAACACAAGTATTCATTATCAAAAATAACAAATACATTAGTATTCGTTAGTTATTGCCGATAATATTCCTTGTGTAACGAATAATCAATAAACAAATAATTTTTTGATTAACTAAAAATATTTTCTCTTTGTGATTAATTCAGTAATATCAAAGTAAGTAAGTCATCTTCAATAAATATTTTTCTTCCAATAACGAATAGTGATATTCACAATCAATAACAAATACAAAGGTATACGTTATTCATACATTTTTTGCAGAT